TTCTCGAAAAACGAGATCATGACATGTAAGCTACTTTTTGTCTAACTCTTATAGTTTCCGAGTTAGCCTATTCGGACATCGAATTTGAACCACCCTGTACATGAAACATTTTTGTCAGGTGAATACATTTTGTGTTTTGACAGTTTCTAATTGTCAATTCAAATTTCTATTTTCAAGTGTTACAGTGTTACCAACTGCTACATACCTATTTTCCTACTTTGTCAAAATTTATTTTATTTTTGAGAAAAAAAAAGGATAAAAACGCGAATTACAAAAAATAGCATAAAAAACACGTTTCATAAGACTTAAAGCACTCATTCATTAAAAATTAAATTCGTGCATTTCAAACGTGTCTTACGAAACTTGTTTTTTAATATACTATTAAACTTACAGATTCATAATTGCCTCTAATTTCTTCAACTTCAGCAGTAAGGGCTTGTACTCTTCTTTGGGAGACGCTGAGTTGATCCAAAGTGACTGATAATTGACGTTGGACTTCATCATAATGGGCTTGGAGTTCGGTGAGGGTTAAGGATTGTCTCTTGATGGTTTTTTGGAGGTCGATGTTGGTTTTATTGGCAGCGTCCAAAGACATTTCGAGTTCTGTGATTTGGATTTGAAGCTTCTTCTTGATGCGGGCTACTTCGCTCTTTAATTTAGTTTCAGCTTCGACTACGCGAGCATTTAATTGTTCGATTTCAATGCTTGTTTGTTTGCTATAAAAAATTAATGTATTAAGAGTTAAGAAAGTGATTTTATGGTAATATTTTAAAGTGGGGAAACAAAAACCCATCTATTCTTAGCAAACGCTCGATGCATTCAAATATAAATCAACGCTACTCACTTGTAAATAGATAACATCACAAATATTACACAACATCGAGTTCAATAGTTCACCTTTTATTGAAAAAATATTGCGTTGACTTTCTATCGAATCCCTTCAATTCCGAAGAAAGATTATCCAAAGGTACCATGAAGGTGTCGTCAAGTTCTTTTTCCAATCTTTCGCACATCATCCTCGAGTGAGCGGAACCACGATAAGTGTTGACCAACGCGTTTCTTTGATCACTTATAACCCCTTCATTAATATTCTTCAAACTCTCCGATAACAATTGGGTTTCAATAGCTTTCGCTGATTTACCTCTTAGTATCCTTTGGGTCGCGCTTAATCCAGCGGCCACCATCCTATCGAAATTCGGATCTTCATCTTCGGCCATTCTCGTTTGAATCTTGTTGATTTGCTTCAAAATTTTGTGGGATTTCGAATGTTTGTATTCAACGTGACCATGTTCTTTAACTACAGCAGCTGACGCCGATTTTTTTAGTTGATAAGGAGTTGGTGGGTCATCAAAAAATTCTTTTTGGGTTATAGCTCGTGCTTCGCAACGTCTTGAGATGGTTGCGACGTCTTCGTTGGAATAACATCGCGGGGGTAACTTAGCCCTATATCTCGGGCGTTCGCTCGGCACGTGGGGGAACTTTTTAGGGCGACGCTTTATGGTCCCCGTTGTTGGTACGTCAATTTCAAAGTCAAAATCATCCTCGAATTCAATCGTAGTCGGGTCTCTCCATTTAATTATGTTGCGCGGCATCGTTTTTAATGAATGATCACTACTCGGCTTTTCGTTTGATTCTTGTTTTAGGGTCAGATGTTCCCGTTGCTTTTATACCGAGGATGGAAGTGCCAAGAGGATTATCCAATAAAAAGGGGTTTGCTAAATTTGGACGGGCTAAATTATTGCCAAAATTTTTCTGTTCAAGGTGCCGCACATGTCGTTCGTTTGTAACGACTTTATATTGTTCTCAAGATGTAATTTATTTGAGTAAGTACCCAAAGCTTTTTTTAACATCATTTAAATTTAAAGAGAAGAGATTCGATAGAAATGTCTGATTGTTTGGGTTTGCGCATTTAATAGTGACAAATTTTGATATTAATAGTGCCACTTGAAGTTGATCCAAGTGTTATTATATTAAGTGACTAATCTAATTTATTTGTAGGTGGTTGTCGTCACACAAAAAAAACTCACCGAATTGCTTCAATTTCTTCATCCTTCTCTTGCAGTCTCTTCTCGGCTTCATGGCGGAACATATTAAATTCAGAAGCCATTCTTTGAGAGCGTTGCTCTTCAGCTTTGCGTCCCTAACAAATTATTTTTATTAAATGATAATTATTTTATTAAAAAAATTTCTTACAGCTTCAGCTTCTTTATAAGCAGCGGTAAGCTCTTCGCGTTCATTCTCAAGACGGCGCAACTCAATTTCAAGTTCGTGGAGGCGTCTTGTAAGCTCGGTGATGGTGTTGCGAGCTTCGTTGAAATCATCTAATACACAAAAAAAAAAAGATAAATTAAACGAATATTTGTTACATATATTTTTTTACCTGTCAGTTTTTTATTTTCGCGTGCAAGAGCATCTTTTTGTTCGCGAGTTTTGTCCAATTCATGCGTGATACGTTGGATCTCGGTGATTTTGATGCGAAGGTCGCGTTGACTTTGCTCGAACATTTGGAGGGTTTCATCGAGACGCGATTTCAAGTCCAAGTTGACTCTTTCCAATTGATCGACGCGTTTTTGTAGGTCTCTTGCGGTGTTGTTGGCTTTTTCCAAATCGATGATGAGCACTTCAACTTCGGATTGTAAGCGGGATTTTTGTTTTTCGAGGTTGTTGATTTTCACCAATAAAGCTTCGATGTGCTCTTCTTGCTCGGTGATTCTTGCGGTGTATTTGCGACGGAGTTCTTCGACTTCTTCGGCGTGCGCGTGGCATTCCGCTTCGTATTTTGTCCTAAAGACTTGGACTTCACCTTGGGATTTCACCAATTGACGTTCCAAGTCTAAACGGGCTTCGCTCTCCTCTTCCAATTGGACTCGGACGGATTCCAATTCGACCTCGACTTGATGGAGATTGGCCTCGAGGAGAGCGCGCCTCCTTTCGTCGTCTTCAGCGCGGCGACGAGCATCTTCTAATTGTCCCGCTAATTGGGATTTTAAGTAATTAGCGTTTTCCAAAGTAACCTAAAAAGAGATTTATTCCTTTCTTTTCTGCATTAGATGTGAATTCGTTTAATTACCTTGAGATCTTGAACTTCTTTAACCAACTCGATGTTTTCTTGGGCAAGGCGAGCTTTATGGGTGGTGATGTCGACCACTGTGCGGTTTAATTCTTCGATCTTGATGTTGATTTCGCTGATTGTTACTTCCAATTTTTCAGCGTGCTTAACGGAAATGAGACGCTCTTTGTTGACCGATTCAACTTGAGCGAGGAGTTCGTAAATTTCTGCTTGGAATTTGGCCTTTTCTTTTTCTGCCCTGTTTATAAACAAAAACAGATTAATAATTTTTTCTCCTGTCAGATGAAACCGGTTAAATTTAGAAAAAATTCTACGATTCGAACAAAATTCTTTGGGTATATATTTAGCGTGGAAAAGTAGGGCGAGTCTTGGTAGCCAAAAGTGTGGCAGAAACCGAACTTCGGGAGGGAAAAGATTTTCCTTCTCAAATCCATGCACAATGCGAAAATTGTTGCTGAACGACCTATGAACAAACGGGATTGCTCCCGGGACTAATATGGCGCGGCTAAGGTAGTTGGTTCTATTTTTAACCGACTCCTGGCAGCCGTACGTGCCACAATATCCTCCGCCTGCGGCCTCTGCCCAGATCGAATTGTGTAACAAGATACGTTCCTTTTAATCCCGACTAAACCCGAATCGCGCGATTAACACGCGACCTTATATCGTGAAACGACAACCTCTCCAGAAATAAACCGGACGTCCAATCGAAGCGATTTCCAGTGGGCGGATAAACAAACAGCTTTGATCGCTTCTTAGAAACGCGCTCTAAAACCTTTCTGTTTTAACAAGCCTCAGCTGTTTAGTACACAAAGAATCCATTTAAAACTTTTTTTAGTGCGAAGTATGATTCAATTCAAACTTCAAAACATTTAAATCTACTTTTAGACCCTATACATGTGATGAGATCTTAATTCCCTCTTTAAGAACAATTAAGTCGTAAACAACAAAACGCACCTCGACTTGGCCTTGCTGAGGACGTCGATTTGCTCCTGGAAGTCAACGACGATCTCTTGATGTTTCCTCTTGAGGATGGCTGCGGTCTCCTCGGACTCAATATGAACATCTTCGAGCAATTTGCGAAGTTTTAAAAGCTCAGTATCGCGCTTCTTATTAATTTCAAACTGAAACAAAAAATTTTTTAGAACAATTTTACTTCCAAATCAATAATTACCTTACCTGAGTCTCACAACCGCCTTCAGCTTCCTCCAAACGCTCGGTGAGTTGGATTACTTGAACGCTTAAATCGGCTTTTTCCCTTTCAATCTAATAACACAAATTAGATTCTTCAAAAAATAATTCTTGGTACTTTGCCAATAAAAAACATAATACAACACAAAACACTTTACTGTAATAAAATCATAGTACAGCAAAAGCTTGAATTAATGAAATAGCAAAAAATTATAATTTCTCATTCAAGTTCCCTTTCATCGCAACATTGTAACAATCCACTCATTCCACAGATAGTTTTGGCGTTCGTACAACATCCAGTTGAAGAGAGCGGGCTCTATTTCTGGTGTTCTTACGCATACCAAAAACCGGGTTAGTTGCCAAAATGAAAATAGCTGGATTAGTGACACGTATCAACCTAATTTAAAACTTAGCGGCGTCTCTCGCGGTTACGTACCCGCGACCTGAGCTCCCTCTCGATCTCGAGGTCGTCCTGCAGCAGGCGGATCTTATCCTGAAAAGGAACGTCTTGGTCAAAAAAAAAAATGTATGGCAAGAATTTTTTAACGTCTTAAAGATGAATTAAAATTAATTTGAGATGTGTGTGTATGGATATCACTTTTTGTGTGTGTGTGTGGATTCACTACACCGAGAAAAAATTTAGTCCACACAAACTCGTCACTGGCAAGAAGATTCCGATCCTTTTGGAATTTTCCGATGACATAACGGGTTGCCCTGGTAAAAATAAATTACCTCAAGCCTGGACAGGGCGCTAAGATCGGCACTGTATTCGATGCTGACGTCCGCATTTGCAGCGCCTCCGGTTGATCTGTAGGTGTACTTTGAAGTCCTCGCGACTGAGGAAGACATTTTGCCGTTATACCGTTGGTTTTAACACTGACCGTAAGCCGTAAATTCGTGAGAATGGAGAGAGAATGAAATTCGCGTGCCGGCGCCGCCTCGACAGTGGTGGCTTGGTCGTTCGTATGGGCGTCGCGACGGTGGAAGCCAGAATAAAGTTCCTTCGCAAAGCGGCGTCTGCGCAGACGGGCGTCGCGACGGCGCGCGCTTAAGCGAGCTGACTCAGATTTCCGATTTTCTAGATGATGATGCCCTCCGATCGACTATTTTTGGGCCCATGTTTATGCACTTTTTCTGCAGTTTATCAGTTTATTTTTAAGAAATTCAAATTGTTTTGAGGACACCATCAAGATGAGTCTAAATCTTATTAGCAAAAATTCTTCATCATTCAGTAACAAAACATGATTAATCCACATTCATCTTTGAATTTTTAATATCGACTTAATCACAACTAAATGATGAAGCAGTATGATGATTCCAATAAGTCAAGATTTTCCAGAATGTTCCAAGTAAAGCATCTTTTGAAATTGGAATATCTGCTGTATACAGTAGATAGCTCTTTCAGGAAAATAAGATTCCAGTAGTTGACAGTAGTCTAAAAAACTGCTAGGCATTATTTTTGTTCTTCAAATGCATTCTTGCATGCTTGTCACTCCATGCACTTGATCTATTGTAGACTGGCAAAAGTAACAAAAGTCATTGTGCCATAAAGAATTTCTAACTTTCCATAAACATCGTTGCGACGATTTTTTAAGTCGAACTGCTTTTTATTGTGATAAATACGAAAAATAGAAAATTAAAAGAATAATATCTCACGAACGAATTGTGATATCACGATATGATAACGAACATTTTAAAGCAAATTTAATAAAGAGTCATTGTGCCATAAAGAATTTCTTACTTTCTATAAACATCGTTGCGACGATTTTTTAAGTCAAACTGCTTTTTTTGTAACAAATACGAAGAATAGAAAATTAAAAAAATCATATCTCAAGAACGAATGCTGATATCACCATGGGATAACAAACATTATAAAGCAAATTTAATAAAGAGTCAGTGTGCCATAAATAATTTCTTACTTTCCATAAACATCGTTGCGACGATTTTTTAAGTCAAACTGCTTTTTTTGTGATAAATACGAAGAATAGAAAATTAAAAGAATCATATCTCAAGAACGAATTGTGATATCACGATGTAATAACGAACATTTTAAAGCAAATTTAATAAAGAGTCATTGTGCCATAAAGAATTTCTTACTTTCCATAAACATCGTTGCGACGATTTTTTAAGTCAAACTGCTTTTTTTGTGATAAATACGAAGAATAGAAAATTAAAAGAATCATATCTCAAGAACGAATTGTGATATCAAGATGTGATAACGAACATTTTAAAGCAAATTTAATAAAAAGTCATTGTGCCATAAAGAATTTCTAACTTTCCATAAACATCGTTGCGACGATTTTTTAAGTCGAACTGCTTTTTATTGTGATAAATACGAAAAATAAAAAATTAAAAGACTCATATCTCAAGAACGAATTGTGATATCACGATATGATAACAAACATTTTAAAGCAAATTTAATAAAGAGTCATTGTGCCATAAAGAATTTCTTACTTTCCACAAACGTCGTTGCGACGATTTTTTAAGTCAAACTGCTTTTTTTGTGATAAATACGAAGAATAGAAAATTACAAGAATCATATCTCAAGAACGAATTGTGATATCAAGATGTGATAACGAACATTTTAAAGTAAATTTAATAAAGAGTCATTGTGCCATAAAGAATTTCTTACTTTCCATAAACATCGTTGCGACGATTTTTTAAGTCGAACTGCTTTTTTTGTAATAAATACGAAGAATAGAAAATTAAAAGAATCATATCTCAAGAACGAATTGTGATATCAAGATGTGATAACGAACATTTTAAAGCAAATTTAATAAAGAGTCATTGTGCCATAAAGAATTTCTTACTTTCCATAAACATCGTTGCGACGATTTTTTAAGTTAAACTGCTTTTTTTCTGATAAATACGAAGAATAGAAAATTAAGAAAATCATATCTCAAGAACGAATGGTGATATCACCATGGGATAATAAACATTTTAAAGCAAATTTAATAAAGAGTCAGTGTGCCATAAATAATTTCTAACTTTCCATAATCATCGTTGCGACGATTTTTTAAGTTAAACTGCTTTTTATTGTGATAAATACGGAGACTAAAAAATTAAAAGACTCATATCTCAAGAACGAATTGTGATATCATGATATGATAACGAACATTTTAAAGCAAATTTAATAAAGAGTCATTGTGCCATAAAGAATTTCTTACTTTCCATAGACATCGTTGCGACGATTTTTTAAGTCAAACTGCTTTTTTTGTGATAAATACGAAGAATAGAAAATTAAAAAAATCATATCTCAAGAACGAATTGTGATATCACGATGCTATAACGAACATTTTAAATCAAATTTAATAAAGAACCAATGTGTTAAAAAGAATTTCTTATTTTCAATAAACATCGTTGCAACGATTTTTTAAGTCGAACTGCTTTTTTTGTAATAAATACGAAGAATAGAATATTAAAAGAATCATATCTCAAGAACGAATTGTGATATCAAGATGTGATAACGAACATTTTAAAGCAAATTTAATAAAGAGTCATTGTGCCATAAAGAATTTCTTACTTTCCATAAACCTCGTTGCGACGATTTTTTAAGTCAAACTGCTTTTTTTGTGATAAATACGAAGAATAAAAAATTAAAAGAATCATATCTCAAGAACGAATGGTGATATCACCATGCGATAAAGAACATTTTAATTCAAATTTAATAAAGAGTCATTGTGCCATAAAGTATTTCTTACTTTCCATAAACATCGCTGCGACGATTTTTTTAAGTCAAACTGCTTTTTTTGGTGATAAATACGAAGAATAGAAAATTAAAAGAATCATATCTCAAGAACGAATTATGATATCACGATGTGATAACGAACATTTTAAAGCAAATTTTATAAAGACTCATTGTGCCTCATAGAATTTCTTACTTTCCATAAACATTGTTGCGACGATTTTTTAAGTCAAACTGCTATTTTTGTAATAAATACGAAGAATCGAAAATTAAAAAAATCATATCTCAAGAACGAATGGTGATATCACCATGGGATAACAAACACTTTAAAGCAAATTTAATAAAGATTTATTATGCCATGAAGTATATCTTACTTTCCATTAACATCGTTGCAACGATCTATTAAGTCAAACTGCTTTTTTTGTGATAAATACGAAGAATAGAAAATTAAAAGAATCATATCTCAAGAACGAATTGTGATATCAAGATGTGATAACGAACATTTTAAAGCAAATTTAATAAAGAGTCATTGTGCCATAAAGAATTTCTTACTTTCCATAAACATCGTTGCGACGATTTTTTAAGTCGAACTGCTTTTTATTGTGATAAATACGAAGAATAAAAAATTAAAAGACTCATATCTCAAGAACGAATTGTGATATCACGATATGATAATGAACATTTTAAAGCAAATTTAATAAAGAGTCATTGTGCCATAAAGTATTTCTTACTTTCCATTAACATCGTTGCGACGATTTTTTAAGTCGAACTGCTTTTTATTGTGATAAATACGAAGAATAAAAAATTAAAAGACTCATATCTCAAGAACGAATTGTGATATCACGATATGATAATGAACATTTTAAAGCAAATTTAATAAAGAGTCATTGTGCCATAAAGTATTTCTTACTTTCCATTAACATCGTTGCGACGATTGTTTAAGTCGAACTGCTTTTTATTGTGATAAATACGAAGAATAAAAAATTAAAAGACTCATATCTCAAGAACGAATTGTAATATCACGATATGATAATGAACATTTTAAAGCAAATTTAATAAAGAGTCATTGTGCCATAAAGAATTTCTTACTTTCCATTAACATCGTTGCGACGATTGTTTAAGTCAAACTGCTTTTTTTGGTGATATATACGAAGAATAGAAAATTTAAAGAATCATATCTCAAGCACGAATTTTGATATCACTATGCGATAACGAATATTTTAAAGCAAATTTAATAAAGAGTCATTGTGCCATAAAGTATTTCTTACTTTCCATAAACATCGTTGCGACGATTTTTTAAGTTAAACTGCTTTTTTTGTGATAAATACGAAGAATAAAAAATTAGAAGAATCATATCTCAAGAACGAATGGTGATATCACCATGCGATAAAGAACATTTTAATTCAAATTTAATAAAGAGTCATTGTGCCATAAAGAATTTCTTACTTTCCATAAACATCGTTGCGACGATTTTTTAAGTCAAACTGCTTTTTTTGTAATAAATACGAAGAATAGAAAATTAAAAAAATCATATCTCAAGAACGAATGGTGATATCACCATGGGATAACAAACGAGTACAAATTTAATAAAGAGTCAATGTGCCAAAAAGAATTTCTTATTTTCCATAAACATTGTTGCGACGATTTTTTAAGTCCACCTGCTTTTTATTGTGATAAATACCAAGAATAGAAAATCAAAAACGAATGGTGATATCACCATGGGATAACAAACATTTTAAAGCAAATTTAATAAAGACTCATTGTGCGATAAAGAATTTCTTAGTTTGCATAAACATCGTTGCAACGATTTTTTAAGTCGAACTGCTTTTTATTGTGCTAAATACAAAGATTAGAAAATTAAAAGAATAATATCTCAAGAACGAATTGTGATATCACGATATGATAACGAATATTTTAAAGTACATTTAATAAAGAGTCATTGTGCCATAAAGAATTTCTTACTTTCCATAAACATCGTTGCGACGATTTTTTAAGTCGAACTGCTTTTTTTGTGATAAATACGAAGAATAGAAAATTAAAAGAATCATATCTCAAGAACGAATGGTGATATCACCATGGGATAACAAACGAGTACAAATTTAATAAAGAGTCAATGTGCCAAAAAGAATTTCTTATTTTCCATAAACATTGTTGCGACGATTTTTTAAGTCCACCTGCTTTTTATTGTGATAAATACCAAGAATAGAAAATCAAAAACGAATGGTGATATCACCATGGGATAACAAACATTTTAAAGCAAATTTAATAAAGACTCATTGTGCGATAAAGAATTTCTTAGTTTCCATAAACATCGTTGCAACGATTTTTTAAGTCGAACTGCTTTTTATTGTGCTAAATACAAAGATTAGAAAATTAAAAGAATAATATCTCAAGAACGAATTGTGATATCACGATATGATAACGAATATTTTAAAGTACATTTAATAAAGAGTCATTGTGCCATAAAGAATTTCTTACTTTCCATAAACATCGTTGCGACGATTTTTTAAGTCGAACTGCTTTTTTTGTGATAAATACGAAGAATAGAAAATTAAAAGAATCATATGTCAAGAACGATTGGTGATATCACCATGGGATAACAAACATTTTAAAGCAAATTTAATAAAGAGTCAGTGTGCCATAAATTATTTCTTACTTTCCATAAACATCGTTGCGACGATTTTTTAAGTCGAATTGCTTTTTATTGTGATAAATACGAAGAATAGAAAATTAAAAGAATAATATCTCAAAAACGAATTGTGATATCACGATGTGATAACGAACATTTTAAAGCAAATTTAATAAAGAGTCATTGTGCCATAAAGAATTTCTTACTTTCCATAAATATCGTTGCGACGATTTTTTAAGTCCAACTGCTTTTTATTGTGATAAATAGAAAGAATAGAAAATTAAAAAATCATATCTCAAGAACGAATGGTGCTATTACCATGGGATAACAAACGTTTTAAAGCAAATTTAATAAAGACTCATTGTACCATAAAGAATTTCTTATTTTCCATAAACATTGTTGCGACGATTTTTTATTTCAAACTGCTTTTTTTTGTGATAAATACTAAAAATAGAAAATTTAAAGAATCATATCTCAAGAACGAATTTTGATATCACCATGGGATAACAAACACTTTAAAGCAAATTTAATAAAGACTTATTATGCCATGAAGTATATCTTACTTTCCATTAACATCGTTGCAACGATCTATTAAGTCAAACTGCTTTTTTTGTGATAAATACAAAGAAAAGAAAATTAAAACAATCCTATCTCAAGAACGACTTGTGATATCACGATATGATAACGAACATTTTAAAGCAAATTTAATAAAGAGTCATTGTGCCATAAAGAATTTCTTACTTTCCACAAACATCGTTGCGACGATTTTTTAAGTCAAACTGCTTTTTTTGTGATAAATACGAAGAATAGAAAATTAAAAGAATCATATCTCAAGAACGAATTGTGATATCAAGATGTGATAACGAACATTTTAAAGCAAATTTAATAAAGAGTCATTGTGCCATAAAGTATTTCTTACTTTCCATAAACATCGTTGCGACGATTTTTTAAGTCGAATTGCTTTTTATTGTGATAAATACGAAGAATAAAAAATTAAAAGACTCATATCTCAAGAACGAATTTTGATATCACTATGCGATAACGAACATTTTAAAGCAAATTTAATAAAGAATCAATGTGCTAAAAAGAATTTCTTATTTTCCATAAAAATCGTTGCAACGATTTTTTAAATCGAACTGCTTTTTATTGTGATAAATACGAAGAATAAAAAATTAAAAGAATCATATCTCAAGAACGAATGGTGATATCACCATGCGATAAAGAACATTTTAATTCAAATTTAATAAAGAATCAATGTGCTAAAAAGAATTTCTTATTTTCCATAAAAATCGTTGCAACGATTTTTTCAGTCAAACTGCTTTTTATTGTGATAAATACGAAGAATAACAAATTAAAAGAATCATATCTCTTGATATCTCTAGAACGAATGGTGATATCACCATGCGATAAAGAACATTTTAAAGCAAATTTAATAAAGAGTCATTGTGCCATAAATAATTTCTTACTTTCTATAAACATCGTTGCGACGATTTTTTCAGTCAAACTGCTTTTTTTGTGATAAATACGAAGAATAGAAAATTTAAAGAATCATATCTCAAGAACGAATTTTGATATCACTATGCGATAACGAACATTTTAAAGCGAATTTAATAAAGAGTCATTGTGCCATAAAGTATTTCTTACTTTACATAAATATCGTTGCGACGATTGTTTAAATCAAACTGCTTTTTTTGTGGTAAATACGAAGAATAGAAAATTAAAAAAATCATATCTGAAGAACGAATGGTGATATCATCATGGGATAACAAACATTTTAAAGCAAATTTAATAAAGACTCATTGTGCCATAATGAATTTCTTACTTTTCATAAACATCGTTGCAACGATTTTGTGATAAATACGAAGAATAGAAAATTAAAAGAATCATATGTCAAGAAGGAATAGTAACATAAACATTCGTATATTGATATATCTATTTATATGTTGTGGTATGTTAATGAGGAGTTTAAGATGTTTTGACAGTAATTTTTCAAACAATTTGGAAATGGCAGGTAACAGCTAGACAAATTTGAATGATCCACCTTGCTACGCCGGTTTGTCAGGTTTTTTGAGCATAATTATCTGTGCAGTCTTAGAAATCTGGCAGAGAAGAAAAAGGAAACTCTACGACACACTGTTTTATCGAACAAATTCATATGGATGGATAGTAAAGTGCAGTTATACAAGATTTTTGAGTCTTGACCTTCTCTAGAAAGTCCTAGAGATTTATGTATGTTATCCGGATACTAATTATTTATAATAAAATCGTATAATAGAAACTATTGGTACTACTGGAAGCAAATCCATGTAAGACATCAGAAACTTTGGTAGACCATCCAAGAACATTTGCATCAAAATAGAAAGCTAAGCAGAGCAGGTGTTTGGATATCTATTTTCTCATAATATTTTGTTTTAATCATTACATTAAAATACTCCATGATACATTATTTTTTTCTAGATCTTTTAATTGCTGGCCAAAACGTTGGCGTCTCGAAAACGATGCTACTCCGTATTGAACATAAACAAATAATATTATGAATCAGTGCACAGCCGCATGCACTCAAACCTAATCACCGCAGAATTCCCGTAGGCGTTTATTTTTCCATACAGAGGACTTAAAGGAATCTATTTCTAGAATTGAGTGTGAGCCAATACATCTTCGCATCGATGTGGACGTCAAAAATAATTCGACGAGATTCTGCTGTCGTGCCATAGGGTTGTTTTAATAAATCTTCTTGAATCAAAAGGATTGATTAAATTTGCTTCGAAGTAAAATAAAAATTTCAAATAATTTTATTTATTTCGTGTATAGACGATTTCCACCGACGCTCAACGAGTTGGGTTTAAATTTGGAGCGCGTGGTTTGCGAACGTTGCCGGTGCCTCCGTCGTATCTCAAGTTACCTGAAGGGGGGAGCGGCCTTTTATAGACACGGACGTCGCGACGGCGGCACCGAGAGTGGCCCTAGAGAGCTCTACCGTCGGTGCTCTACCTGCCTTTTGCCACTCCATCAAGCTGGAACCATCAAGTTTGGTTGGTTATCACGACTCGAAACAAAAATAGAATCGAAACATTTATTTCGGGATATTTGGGTTTGGAGGTGGTGATGATATGATGTTGGGTAATTCGTGTCGATTGGGTAGAGAGAGCGAAATGAAGAAAATTGGATCGCCTGGCACCAAATCAAAAATATTACGTACCGATGAATTTTTGAAAGAGCTTCGGAGATAATTAGAGGCGATGGTCTTTGAAATGATGGTGGAATTTTAAGATTTAGAAATGAACTTTAGGTGGCAGGTTCATTTTGAGAATTCCCATTTGGCAAACGCTTTTATTTCATTTTCGTTCCAAATAGATCAATATTAACTTAGAACTGGTTCTCTGTCGCACGTGAATTTATTACTCTTGGCTTGACGATGCAATTATGGAACATTAACAATTATTTCCAGTACTCTTTATTGGGCACTCTTCCAAGATGTAGGGTGTCTTATAGTAAGATACATTTTAAGAAAAAGAAAATAAATAACTAAGTGTGGTGCTAAAATGATTTATTTTCATCGATAATATTGACTAACAGTTTTTATAGTGGCCTGGTCAGCTCCACTTAATTTTATAGCGTTTAAAAAAGTTAAGAGGGAGAGAGAAGGGATCATTAGTACAAGTGATGCTTTCAGATTTAATCGAGATCTATTTTGAGAAGGTGTAACTCATATCGCCCAATGTAAATTACTAACGTGACCTTATTCTATATTAAGAAAAGCTGGAAAATATTCTTCATGCAAAAAATCTTTCAATTTTAACATAAATACTCAAAACGCGCGATCGTAAAAAGTAGAGTAACGGGAAATTTCAAACACAGTCAATTCGTTGTTGGGCTATTTATATGAACATGCCAATTCGAACTGTTTTATGTGTTGGTATGCTTTCGTTGAAAATTCCTATAATATCAATACCGGTTCAAGATAAATAATCTTAGAATTTTCGTTAAAAAAAAATTTACTAATTTAAAAAGGATTATGTGTTCTCAATCGGGCAGAGCTGCAACATTGAAAATTTTTATTTCTTGGATATATTCCAAGTGGACGAACTCCTCCCACCTGGCTCAGATTTTTGAACGATGACTCAGTTCCGGATCATTGTGGAACGAAACGAAAACAGGGTTGTTATAAAAATAAATTTTTTTAAACTTAAAAATCTTGGTAATGAAGCGAAATACGATGAAAGATAAAAATTAATTGAAACTATTCTTCAATTTTCCTACATAACAAAAACAGATTTATCTTAAAAATATATAATTCAATGAATTTTAATACAGGTACAAAAAATAAATATATATAAACAAATATTATATAGTCAAAAACTAAATAATGAACTGAATTGAAAGTATAATAACTTATTTTAAGGTGGTGAGAACAATAAATACGACTTGAAAGACTGGGTTTTATAAAATTGTATACAATCCAGAATCCAATTTTCCTTGACGCACTTAATGGTCCCCTCTACGTATTCCCCAACGATTATATCTGCATTTTTTCGGATTGTTGTTATTTTACCTTTACATAGTTTTACTAATTTTTGAAGGTCACCACATTGAGGAGTCGATGTTTTCGCAATGTAAATCTTTCCGCAATCGCTAAATAAATCCATCGTATAATTTCTTCCAAAAGCTTGTTTTTCTTGTCGAGATTTCTAAACAAAATGAATTAATCAATGAAATTATAATAAATCAATCTAGAAATAATATCAGAGTTTTCAGAAACGGTATATTTATTAAATAATATAAAATTAATGGTAATTTATCACCGAAAAGGTGTAGAGGAGGTAAATAATAAAATAAAAAACGTTTAATTCAAAATTTGTATTGCATTTATAGAAATTGTGAAAGAATTAATTGTATTTGGCCTCGTCAATGTCTCAAGCCTTCAATCGTCTCAGTCTCCAAGTGCGGTAAGTTATCCCACCATTTTTTGATTTTTAAATATTTCATTGTTGTTCTAGAGTTGTTCTACTTTGTTCCAAAGCGGAAAATAGAAAAAAGAAAACTCGGCGAGAAAAACCGAAAAAAGAAACGGTTTTTCTAGCTTCATTTAGAAATCATGTTGAGAATAGTTGCATAGATAGCCTTAGTTTCCTAAAATTATTTTTAAAAACCGGTCCTAGTATAAAGCAACATATAAAAAAAGAGTTGAACTATTAACAGGAATAAATTATCTTGTAAGCGAGAATATGCTGGTGTAATAGTAGTAAATGCTACTTCAAATATTGCGTTTATTTGCACACAACTATTCAAAGAAGAATTTAGTGACTGCAGGAAGTCAGCCCCCCATTTTTGGATTTTAAAATTTTTCATTGTTGTTCTAGATTGTTCTAGAGTTGTTCTACATTGTTCCAAAGCGGCAAATCGAAAAAATATAAACTCCGCGAGAAAACCGAAAAAACGGGTTTTTTGACTAGCCCCCCATTTTTGGAAAAATCAAATTTTCTTTGTTGTTCTGGGTTGTTCTAGTTATTGTTCCAGATAATCAAAATTATGGGATACAGCATTACGAAGTAATAACTAAAAATAGGTTTGGCCGCCGAAATGTCTACTTGAATGCTGTGACCATAGTTTTTCTATTATCAATTCCATATTACAAATATATACTTATTATAGCTAACGCAATCTGGAACAGCTATTATTTTCACTAGAACAATTCTCTAAAGGGCACTTTACTCTTTGAAAGTTAAAGTTTTTGGAAATTTCAATCAGTAATTCTTGTGTCAGCGGTTTTAATAATGACTTACGAAAAAAATCCGTACAAGTTGAAGAAGCTACTGAAATAAATGTACAAATGTGCATATACACTCAGCAGCAGAAGTCTGCGTACAACGTCATTTCGGCGGCCAAACCTATTTTTAGTTATAACTTCGTAATGCTGTATCCCATAATTTTGATTTTCTAGAACAATAACTAGAACAACTAGAACAACCCAGAACAACAAAGAAAATTTGATTTTTCCAAAAATGGGGGGCTAGCCAAAAACCCCGTTTTTTCGGTTTTCTCGCGGAGTTCTTACTTTTTCGATTTGCCGCTTTGGAACAATGTAGAACAACTCTAGAACAATCTAGAACAACAATAAAAAATTTAAAAATCAAATAATGGGGGGCTAACTTCCCGCACTCGAATTTAGTTGTTGTAGGACTAAAAACTGCAATAATTTATTGTTTAAACGTTACTTTCCATAAAAATATAATTTTGCCAATCGACATTAACATCGTAACAGTATTTGGCTATGCACAGGTACAGCAAGCAAGGAACGGATAGTGATTTTGCGTAAAGCCAGATACCGGATATTCGACATCCCCTTCGGCCGGATATCCGGTATATCTATCCGGCCATTATGGTTACAGTTTCTGGATTATTTCTGAAGTGATACCCTACATTGCCACATTATTGCGATATTTGAATAAAAATGAAATTAATAAGAAAACTGATGATATGTCAACTTATTTGGATCCAAGAAACAAAATGAACTTTTTTTGATACAGATTTAACCAACGAAGCAACTGAAAGTGATAACATCAACAGTTCTGTTAGTAATGAATGTGATGATGAATTACAAGAGAAGAGAAGAAAACTAAACGAAACGGCAACAAGAGATTTTATATATCGTATTGGGTTTGTTGCCATGAGATTGCTAATGACAAACCTGAAATAAATAAAGTTGTATTCAATGAAAAAAGTCCTATTGGGGTTGAACTTGATTTTTATCTGCAGTGTCCAACACCTAAATAGATACTAATTCCTGTGAATGGTGGAGTACTAAGTAATAGGTTTTTAATATCCGGCCAAATCCGTAAGTTCTAATTGTTGTAAGTACTAATTTTTAATATGAAACTTTAAAAAAACTAAAGCCGCAGTGATTAAATAAACATTTTAAGTAACTAGAACAACAAGAACAATTTAGAACAACAAAATAGATGTGATTTTACAAAATTAATGTCGATGTAACCAGAAAAACCGTTTTTCCCTAGTTTAAACGTAAAACACCTAGAACAAATTGAATCAACTAAATTTGAGTTATTTTTTTTAATTGTTATTGAGTAATTTAAAACCGCTGACGCATAAATTACTTCCTGAAAAACTCCAAAAACTTCAATTTCCAAAGAGTAAAGTGTCCAAAAAAAAAAAAATGGGGGGCTAGTCGAAACACCCCTCTTTTTAGTTTTTCTCGCCGAGTTTTTATTTTTTCTATTTGCCGCTTTGGAACAATGTAGAACAACAATGAAAAATTTAAAGATCAAAAATGGGGGCTATATTCCCGCATTCGCAGTCTCCGGCCACTCTCTTCTAACTTTTGCTCGTTTTCGGTGTTTAAATTGCTGTCCAGATAGCCGAAGTTATCCATTACTTCGAAATTGTAGTCTCCAATGGTGACACTCTGCCCAACACCACGTTTCCATCATTTATGTACTTTGAGTCAAGAGTTTGGTTTTGTCTTCATTGATCCTTCGTCCCAGTAGGGATCCTGATCAATTCAGATGTTTGTCAATTTGGCGATTCTTCCTCTCCGCACAGTTTCATTTTCCTTTTCTTTTCTCTTAGTATATTTGGCATAAAAGTACAGGTAAACGTCGTTTTGCGCCAGGGTTCTGTTCCGAGAGACACCGGCGTAAACAAAATCGGCGTAAAATGAACACAAATATAATGGACGATATAAGGTTAGGTTCCGTGTCAAAATTCTAAGAACAATCTAACATGTTTATTTATACATATCCTATATACAGGGTGACCCTTAATCAGTGCTTTTAATGTTATCCGCAAATGATACGCTTTAAAGGTAGAAATTACCCCCTGATCCATGGGTTGTAAAACGGAGGTTGTGTTACAGAGCACGTAAATTATTTATCTATTTCTGCCAATAGACGCCTGTTTCATCAAAATTGAAGATGAGATCTGCAGGGTAACTCCTTTGTTCCAAAATTTCTTTAAACTTTTGACTGTAAGTTCAAATCAGAAAAATTAACAGTTCTTTTTCGCATATGATTACTCGTGTTACACGAATATTTTTTTGATTGGCATCATCAACCCACAATGCTAACATTTTTTCCATTTTCTCTATATTTTTGTTGTTTTTATTTTCTCAGCGTTTTTCATAATTGTTGTCACAGTGGACGGAGGTAAATTTTGAGCTCTGCAGACAAAAGGTCGAGTTTGGCCATCTTCAATGCGTGTAATTACGTCTATTTTGTAATTGTCTCCATGCTTATTGCTTTTCGTGCTTTTTTCGCACAATGTTTAGGTTCTGAATCACTATTGTCTTCCATAATGAAACTAGAAATTGAATATTCTTTGCCTACTGTCGTCTGATGTCGGGTGAACCGGGGAATCCCAGGCGGGCACCAACCGGCGTAATTGTGAATCGGTGTAAATCGAACCGGCGCAAAACGACGTTTACCTGTAGTTCTTTTTTATCATACCAGCAATGCTTTGTAACACTGAACAGAGTGTACTCAGCATAATCTTTACTATCTTCTATAGATATTTCTGAAAGTATCCATGTCCTGTTAAGAATTGAGTGGTGAGAAATTCACCCTGCAGTGTTTTAGTTTACAACAGGGTTCGAATAAATCATGATTTTTATAAAAAAAAATCAATGATTTAAATCATATGATACATTTTTAGATCAATTACGTTATGTAACATAAAAGGGGAGATTATTAATGTTTTTTGCTAGTTCTCTCGTTTAAGAACGTGTTAGAAGATATTTTTTTATGTATATCGAAGTCGGGACAATCGTCGCGACGAAATACGTTACGTGTCGCGACGAAGCCATTAATAAAACCGAACGGTCGGTTTTTTTGTTCTTTCCATATAAAGTGTTGTGATTAAAATCTTTAGTCTCTGTTAATAAATTGTAAAGGTGAAGTGAGTAAAATAAAATAAGCGGAGGAAAAAAGACAAAATTTGGAATTATTACTTACAATTAGAAAAAGTGGAAAGAGGAAAGACCGGAAGGAGCAGAGGAATTTGTAAAAATTGCGGAAAGAATATACAAGGACTAGTTCAAAGGTTGAAACAACACCATGGAATTCTGATGGAGAAGACGTCGCACCAAGTAACACAGAAATTAATTTAGTTAAAGGTAAATAGTATTTACTGCAACTTAAAAAGACTTAACATATTATATTCTTAAGATATTCACCGCTTTCAGTCTACCAAAAATAGACTACAACATATTTTATTGCGTTTCTTTTTGTAATTATCATCATAAAACCGGTATTTACCACTGTATAAACAAAAAAATTAAATTTTTTTTACTCTCTGAATGTTGTAATAGTATATTAAAAAACAAGTTTCGTAAGACACGCTTGAAATGCACGAATTCAAGTTGAAAAACGAGTGGCGAAGCCACGAGTTTTTTAATGAATGAGTGCTTTAAGTCTTATGAAACGTGTTTTTTATGCTATTTTTTGTAATTCGCGTTTTTATACTTTTTTTTAACAAAAATACAGTAAATTTTGGCAATGTAGGGAAATAGGTATGTAGCAGTTGGTAGCACCGGAACACTTGAAAATAGAAATTTGAATTGACAATTAGAAACTGTCAAAACACAAAATGTATTCACCTGACAAAAATGTTTCATGTACACCTCCCAAAATAAGATAAATTGCTTAGAGTTCAATGTCCTCATCATTGTAGACCTTGTATTCGATGCTAAGAACGTGTTTAAACATCCATAGACAAACATTGTCACATTGACAACTAGAAAAATTAATGACCCAATGTCACCAACTTGAACTGGTTCCATAAAATGTTACTAAAATCTCATTACAGCATCGGATGCTGTAAGGAGTCTCATTACAGCACCCGTTTGAGTACTGTTATAGCTTCCATTACCGTAGCGAATTACAAAAAATCAATATCAATATCAAGAGCAGCAATATGCTCCTTGGCTGTGTATGTAACACAGCATGATCAAAAGCTGGGTTACTGTTTATGCATATTTATATATTTTTATGTTTACAAATTTAGTAAAATTTTTAACAAAATATGAGAAAGTACTATTTTCAGTTATTTCAATATTGTTCTATAGGAATTGAGAATTTATCTGAATGAACCATTGCTAGTAATAAACAGTTTTCAATTAACCCTCTCTAAACGACCGGCAAGCACTTGCTCATCTACAAGTTAGTTGATGTCATTTGCTGACAATGATTCAGCTGTTATATCTAAAAAACGCAAAATAAATGCTAACATAAATTTGGAAAACTTTATTGTTCGAACGCATATTAATAAAAAACAAGAAATAGATAAACAGCTTTAGATGTATGGGCAACCCGCAAGTGAACCAGGCAATTAATTGAATTGTTAAGACCTGGTTACAATCTTCCTTCTGGCAAAATAATTTCTACGACACTTTTGGAACAAATTATGAAGAAGAGAAAACTAAATGTTGTTTAAAATTATAAATTATACAATTATTATAGCTTGATGGAAAATCATTAGTGCTGCCAAGTGATGTGAGGTGGAAGGAATAGTATGGCAGATTGTTTGGAAGTATATGTAAGCCAATGGGAGAAACTATTAAAAGTGTGTGACGAGAATAAAAAGGAAAAAGACTCGACAATATACAAAAAAGTTTCAAACATTGGTTTCAAACGCTCAGCGAATATATTATAATGAATATTAATTTTTGTATTCATGTTTTGATAATTTTGTNATTTTTTCGATTTGCCGCTTTGGAACAATGTAGAACAACTCTAGAACAATCTAGAACAACAATAAAAAATTTAAAAATCAAAAAATGGGGGGCTAACTTCCCGCACTCAAGTGAACCAGGCAATTAATTGAATTGTTAAGACCTGGTTACAATCCTCCCTCCGGCAAAATAATTTCTACTTTCTACGACACTTTTGGAACAAATTATGAAGAAGAGAAAACTCAATGTTGTTTAAAATTATAAATTATACAATTATTATAGCTTGATGGAAAATCATTAGTGCTGCCAAGTGATGTGAGGTGGAACAGTATGGCATAGGAATAGATTGTTTGGAAGTATATGTAAGCCAATGGGAGAAACTATTAAAAGTGTGTGACGAGAATAAAAAGGAAAAAGACTCGACAATATACAAAAAAGTTTCAAACATTGGTTTCAAACGCTCAGCGAATATATTATAATGAATATTAATTTTTGTATTCATGTTTTGATAATTTTGTAAGAAAGTGCAGTTTTATTTGCAGTTTTGTTTTTGATTTAAATCATTGATTAATGATTTAATTTGATTTAATCATTATTTAAATTAGAACCCTGGTTTGCAAGAACTCATTACATCCAGGATAAGCTCTGTAATCCATCTACTGCGTCGTTCATCGTTCCACCCTCTTGACGTATAACTACATACAGTCTGACCCGTTTGAAAGCGGAACACCCTCGTAAAATTTGTATTTATTATCCGATTTCGATAATTTTTTTTTAAATTTTAGAGGGTAAAAAAACTGTTCCTTAGGTCAAAGAGTCACGTTTTTCTTAAAAAACAAAGGCCTACTATTTCACTTTTTAGGTGAAAAAAATGAAGAAATCATATTAGGAAATTTTTTACAAAAAATTTGAGTACACCACTGCATTAAGCGGCATTTTGAAATGGGCATATACCAAATTTCATCAAAAATGGTCAGAAATTAAAACCGTTACAGATAATTGAAAAATATCATTTTTCATGAATTTATTTGATCTGATTCTAGTAAACCATGACAAAAAAAGGTAATAAAATACAGACAATAATACAATAGTATATTAAAAAACAAGTTTCGTAAGACACGTTTGAAATGTACGAATTCAAGTTGAAAGACGAGTGGCGAAGCCACGAGTTTTTTAATGAATGAGTCTTGTGAAACGTGTTTTTTATGCTATTTTTTGTAATTCACGTTTTTATCCTTTTTTTTTTCTCAAAAATAAAATAAATTTTGACAATGTAGGGAAATAGGTATGTAGCAGTTGGTAACACCGTAACACTTGAAAATAGAAGTTTGAATTGACAATTAGAAACTGTCAAAACACAAAATGTCCCCTGACTAAAATGTTTCATGTACACCTCCCAAAATATGAGAAATTGCTCAGAGTTCAATGTCCTCATCATTGTGGACCTTGTATTCGATGCTAAGAACGTGTTTNACTCTACTTTACGAAACAAGTTAGGTGTTGAAAAGGCAGGAAAATTAGTTTTCTTGTATAAATATTATAATGAATATTAATTTTTGTATTCATGTTTTGATAATTTTGTAAGAAAGTGCAGTTTTATTTGCAGTTTTGTTTTTGATTTAAATCATTGATTAAAATCATAATTTAAATTAGAACCCTGGTTTGCAAGAACTCATTACATCCAGAATAAGCTCTGTAATCCATCTACTGCGTCGTTCATCGTTCCACTTTCTTGACGTATAACTACATACAGTGCGACCCATTTGAAAGCGGAACACCCTCGTAAAATTTGTATTTATTATCCGATTTCGATAATTTTTTTTTTAAATTTTAGAGGGTAAAAAACTGTACCTTAGGTAAAAGAGTCACGTTTTTCTTAAAAAACAAAGGCCTACTATTTCACTTTTTAGGTGAAAAAAATGAAGAAATCATATTGGGAAATTTTTTACAAAAAATTTGAGTACACCACTGCATTAAGCGGTATTTTGAAATGGGCATATACCAAATTTCATCAAAAATGGTCAGAAATTAAAACCGTTACAGATAATTGAAAAATATCATTTTTCATGAATTTATTTGATCTGATTCTAGTAAACCATGACAAAAAAAGGTAATAAAATACAGACAATAATACAATAGTATATTAAAAAACAAGTTTCGTAAGACACGTTTGAAGTGCACGAATTCAAGTTGAAAAACGAGTGGCGAAGCCACGAGTTTTTTAATGAATGAGTGCTTTAAGTCTTATGAAACGTGTTTTTTATGCTATTTTTTGTAATTCGCGTTTTTATCCTTTTTTTTTCTCAAAAATAAAATAAATTTTGACAATGTAGGGAAATAGGTATGTAGCAGTTGGTAACACCGTAACACTTGAAAATAGAAGTTTGAATTGACAATTAGAAACTGTCAAAACACAAAATGTCCCCTGACTAAAATGTTTCATGTACACCTCCCAAAATATGAGAAATTGCTCAGAGTTCAATGTCCTCATCATTGTGGACCTTGTATTCGATGCTAAGAACGTCTTTAAACATCCATAGACAAACATTGTCACATTGACAACTAGAATAATTAATGACCCAATGTCACCAACTTGAACTGGTTCCATAAAATGTTACTAAAATCTCATTACAGCATCGAATGCTGTAATAGAGCTTTCATTACAGTCGCGAATTACAAAAAAACTATTTACATTTGTTACAGATGAAATTAATTGATAAAAAATTATATTTTTCATTATCTGTAACGTTATCTGGTAATTTGCAACAAATTTTACGAGGGTGTTCCGCTTTCAAATAGGTCACACTGTATATCTTTTTTTGTAGTAATGGCCTTGAAAGATTTGATGTGACTAACTTGATGTGATGTGCTTTCTCATCAAAAAAATTTTTTTCTCTTTAGAAATGAGATACCTCTATGAACCTAAATTTCCTATGAGGAATTATTCAAGGTAATTTAAAATGTATAGACAAACACAGCAAGGTGAAGATTTGCTTCTTCTTCTACTTTTCAAAATTTTCTTTTCATCATTAAACTTTAGTATGTTGAATCTTCTTTAATATAGTCATTTTAGCTTTAAATGACAATTTTGCAAAACATTTTTGCTTCCAGTTACAAGATTCATCTTAAACTCAAGATTTTGCAGTTTCATTTTCTTCATAACTTCTTTCATTCGTCCCAGTTTTTGCATCTGTTTTGGTATGCCACTTTCTCACAATCACTATCTATTATTGTTGAGTATCATTTTAAATAAAAGCAACAAATGCGATACAATATTTTCTGTAAGTATAAATCAGCAATACTTAAGATGTATTCGGACCTTTTTATGTTGTCTGATACCTGCCAAGGTTATAAATTAGAAAAAAAAGATATCTTACTTGTACAGCCATTGAAAATTCCGTCATTTCATAATTCTCTTCTGGTAACCATTTCTTTTCTTGTAAAGATTTATATAACTATCAAAAAAAATTATTTATATAAATTGAAATTTACTTAAATATATTTATAATTACCCATTCAGATCTTAATATCCAACAACCTCTTGCCATCGCCCTAAGCACATTAATAGTTCGTTTCGGCTCGGCCAAAATTAAATGTGAAGTATCCTCGGTAACATCGCGTTCAGTTATAAAATTACCCAATTTTTTTACAATTTCTTCAAATTTTATCGATTCTTTAGTATGAAATCTTGAACAAACGATGCTGGTGATTTTCTTCGGCTTTACGGGTGTATTATATTTTCTTGGGGTTCTAAAAGATTCTTTAGGTAAAAAATCTAAAGTACTTCTGCGAATTCTTTGTGAAGAGCGAACACCTTGAGAAGAATTATGTTGAGTTAATTTCTTTTCGTTTACCTTTTTCTCTTTTACCGGTTTTCCGGGGGTTTTAAATAAATTATCATCAGTTGTATTCGTTTTTGAAATAACATTTTCAGGAAATTTTTTACTCTTTGGAGTCGTTACCGTTTTTTTATCGTTATCTAGGATTTGCGCAATAACATCGTTTTCATTGTACAATTTTCTTTTGCGAGTTTTCTTCGATTTATCATCTCTTTGAGATTTGTCAGAATCATTTTCAGAACTATTATTGTGGAGGTTTCTTTTTGCGCTTGAATTTTTGGAAATAGAAGAATTTTGTTGATTGTTATTATCATTTTTTGATGGACTATTTTGAAGGGCGTCCAAAATCTTTTTTGCGCTTGGAGTCATCAAAATTGAAGAAATTTCCAAATTACTCCTCAATTTAACATCATTTATCGAATCATCTGATGAGGAAAAATTTAATTGTTTTCTTTTAACAACACTCGCATTATTTGTATTAATTTTTGTCTTTTTTACAGAACTACTTTTAATAGCTTCTTTTTCATCACTAGATGAAAAATTTAATCGAGCCCGACTTTTTTTCCTTTCAGTAATATGCACATAAATATTCTTTTGTATCGGAATTTCAGGACTTAAATTTCCATTTTCAGTTGAATCATTTTCTGTATTAGACTTATTCGTTTCAAAACTCGTCATTTTCTTTTTTAACCTATTAGAAGATCTTCTTGACGATTCAGAATCGCTACTAATTTCTTTTGAATCATCACTCAATGAAACACGTAAAGAAGATAATGCAACAGATGATTCCGGCGTTCTTCGTTTAGAACTTGCTGATGATATACGTAAAGAACCAATAGGTTCGGAAACACCGCCAGAAATTTTTTTATTAAACCCATTATCGAGGGATATTTTTAATGAGGATAACGCGCTTGATCGGGTTGAACGTCGATTTGAACTGTTTGAAGATAACCGTAAAGATTCAATGGGTTCAGAAGCAATGTTTGGTTCTTGTTTTGATTTATTAGATTCGGTGGAAATTCGCAATGAAGATAAGGCACTCGATGCGGTTGTTCTTTGTTTAGAACTTTCTGATAAAATTCTTAAAGATTCTACAGACTCAGAAGGAGTCATAGACCTTTTAAAACCCTTTGATGTGGTTCTTTGTTTAGCTTTATTTGATTCTATTGAGTCAGATGAAGCAATACTTTTTTTATTAGATTTTGAAGGCATATTGAGAGAATGCTCAGAAGTATCAACATTCTCATCTTCACCTAAAGATATATGTTGACTATTTTCTTTATTCTCTCCCTTTGAATGTTGAAAAATAGTGCCAATTCCCGACGATATGAATGAATCCCCTGATATACTTGAATTAACGACATTTTCTCCAAAATGAGCACTTAAACCCTCCTCCATCTTCTTTTGCAAATTTCTACTGCATTCTAATTCATCTTCAACAACTTCTGCATACTCTTGTTGTAATTCCTAATAATATTTTAATACAAAATTAAATGTTTATTAATTTATGTAATAATACGAAAATTAATTAATTACCTCACATAGCAAAGAAACATTTGAGCTGTATGCTTGTGGACCTAATGCAGGATAATGCTTTTCGGGTACCCTACAATGATTTTTTCGAACAGCTTCCAACCAAAGAACAGAAACTAATTGGGCTTTAACCAAATTAGCTCTTTTATAAGTTTCATAAGACACATCCTTAAAAAGACAATAAATTATGGCAAAAATCTTTAATAATTAATATATTTTACTTTAATTATAGCATGTGTTATCCCTTTACAAATAAATTCAGAAACTCTCCCTCCCATTGTCTTTAACAACACCTTAACCCCACTCGACCTATCCTGACCTCTACTAATAATCTCCACATAAGCAACAACACCACACAACAATTTATTAAACGGAAGTGGGGCTCGAATATAAACTTTCTGAGTGGGTGAACTAATTTCAGCAGCAAAAACTTTCTTTCTATAAGCACTCATTGGACTAAAGTTATTTGTCTTTGTTAATTTATTTTTATCTTTCTTCTTCTGCAACTCCATGATTTCTTTCTCGTCATTTTTGTGATTAGCTAAAAGCTGCATCAATAAAGCTTTCTTTAAAGGATCATTCATCAACGTGCTAAACAAAGTTTCCTTGGGCTCTTTCATGTTGATTTGTGAGAGCGATCGTCGCATACATGACGAAGATTTTCGATTCGCTTGGGGAGTTGAAAATAACGAATGTCGGGAAGTGTTATTTGATGCCATTTTTAATATTATTTATATAAAATTCTAAAATCACTACTATCACACTCACTCACATTTGTTGAGGTTAAATTGACAGTTAATTTGACATGGACGAAACTTTAAATTTGATTGGTTGAAATTGAAACAAAGCGCCCTCTAACGGAATAACGCAAAAAAATGTTTTAATTATACAGGAAGATTCAAAAATAATTTTTAGGAAAAAAAAAATACAAATTTGTTAATAATGAATTTATTAAGTTTTGAATTATAAATAATAATTTCAATTTCCTTAGGCTCTTTCCTGTTGATTTGTGTGAGCGATCGTCGCATACATAATGAAGATTTTGAACGAAGAGAATGAAGAGAACCAGGCTTGCGATTAGAAAACTTTTATAACAAAAATTGTTGCAAATTTTATTGTTAACAATATTGCTCTCTTGCACTTTTGCTCTTAGATACGTCAATATCGAGATAGATACGAAAATATGAAAATTTTATGAATTTGTTGCTCTTTCAAGTTATTAAAGGGAATCGGAGCATGCTATAAGAAAACTTTTATAACAAAAATTGTTGCCAATTTTATTGTTAACAATATTGCTCTTTTGCACTTTTGCTCTTAGATACGTCAATATCGAGATAGATACGAAAATATGAAAATTTTATGAATTTATTGCTCTTTCAAGTTATTAAACATTATTTTATTAAAAAATTTTATTGTTAACAATATTTCTCTCTTGCACTTTTGCTCTTAGATGCGTCAATATCTATTTTAACAATATTGTATTTTAAACCGTTTTCAAATTAGGCAGGGGGTTTACTTATGACGCGTACTGTATATACCAACGATGTGGCAACGTTGCTCGAGCGACATTGCCATATTGTTGGTATATACTTTTATGCAATATAAGTATATTGTATTGATTTAAAGTACGATGTGTTTTATAATACTTTGTTAAAATTTTGGAAATCGGTAAATGAAGTCGTATATTGGTAGATCTATCGATAAATCGGTAGGGTTGGGCAACGCTGACATGGACGAAACTTTAAATTTGATTGGTTAAAATTGCAACAAAGCGCCATCTAACGGAAAATAACGCAAAAAATGTTTTAATTATAGAGAGGGAGATTCAAAAATAATTTTTAGGAAAAAATAAATACAAATTTGTTAATAATGAATTTATTAAGCATAATATACTTAATTATGATTTGATGATAAATAATAATTTCATCTATATACCAACATAATAAAATAGTTACTCAAGATCAAATTTGCCAGTGCGATGGGCAAATTGAATTCACCGCTCAGCCAGTTACAAAAATAAACAAAAAGAAATTATTAAAAAAAGAAAAAAAGATCAAACAGTTGCGCAAATGATACCAAATTAATTTAACTATAGGTACGTGAAACAGTCCCATACGTTTACCGAAAGAAACAGGTCAATACACGCCAAGTAGTGAGCATTGCGTAAAGAATAAGCGGGGAATTGTATCAAAAAGAAAAAAAAATTATGGAGGGTACTTTTTCTTGAAAAAGTTTTCATCGAGAATTAATTTCTTTTTTTATACCTAAACAAGAGGAGTTAAAGTTTTTAGCCGTCGAATTGCAAAACGTCACTACTTCGCACGTTGAACATCATACAATTTTGGAGCACTATTTCCGCCAGGCGACGAATCGCAGACGGAAGTACAGTTCGACTGAGCAAGTCTTCCAATAAAGTTATCCCACCTTCTTCCTCTAATACGTGACAATATTTTTCAGCTAAAACAAAAAAAAATTTAATAATTATTGCAAAATAAATATTTTTAACTTACGATAAACGGATGTAAGATTAGCTAAGGCCCACACAGCCCAATGTTGACATTCCGGCGTATGATGTATGCTAACAAGGTACAAAATTGGCTCAAAAGATCTATAATTAATATTTCTTTGCGATCTTAAGTTCCATTTTCCGATGGCGGTCGTCATTCTTGCCAAAACATCCTCCCTTCGGGGCTCGTCGATCGTCCACGCTTCCGGACCATCCGACGCGATATGCGAGATTACTCCCGCTGCGTTATAACCAACCTCTATGCCATCGCTCACCGATTCCAGCAGTTGAGAGAAGACAGTTATGTACTCTTTTGTCATTAGATTGCTCCTTAGAAAGTGCACTTCTGCTACGTTACCCAATAAACCCATCATGTTTCTTAATAATTCATCTCTATCATAGAATTTCTAAAAATAAAGGGAAATTAATTAAATTAAAAATTTTAAATTAACAAAATCAAAAAAATTAAATTGTAGAGGTAAACGTCATTCTTAAACTTTATTTCATTAACCAGATGAGGACGTTTTCTGCGATATCAGACCAAATACATCAAATTAACCCTTTATCGGTTTCAGTAATTACGATAATTTTTGTGCTTCTTTAACAGGCACAGTTTTAAAGAGGTGTACTAAACTTCTGCCGTTTTTGTGGCTACTCTAGAATCACTTACTGATTATTTAACACTATTGTCTTGTTTATAATCACATTAGTAAAATATACAACCCATTTGGTTATAAAATCTATTAAAACGCTCTACAACTTCACATTTTATTTATAAATGTAAAAAAATTACATTATCATGTATATTTGTTGTGAAATAATTTAAAACAGGTTTTGGATTTGGTAAGACATAATCTGGAATTACACTTATCACTACGGCTTGGATTTTATGCAAAATGCATCTTCTTTATTTTCTGGATTATTTTTTTCAAAATTGGTTTCTGGGCGAATTACATAAAAATAAGGCATGGTACAATAAAACAATTGCATATTTTGCATATTTTTACAATTTTTTTGGTTGTTGCATAAATTGGCCTTTTACTGCATATTTTGTCATTTTACTAGGTTTGTTTCTTGTTGCTTAATAAAATAAATATAATGACTGCGTGATTTTTAAATATGCGAACATACCTTTTAGTTTATAACACAATACAGGATATTTTTTGATTGCGAGTTAGTTTCTTGTTTAGAACGATTCATAGAAACATGTTGGGAATCCCTAGCGCTGTTGAGTTTAAGTTTAAGGAAATCCCCAACCATAGTTACTGTGGCTGTGTTCAGTGAACATTAATCTACCAATCTATAAGAACAATGCCTAAAGTGATATCGTGTCTTGTGTCCCAGTGGATAAAAAGTTATCCCGAACTAAATTTAAATAATGAGGAATTATTTTGTAAAACTTGTGCCAAAGATTTAAGTTAAAAATTAGAGTTTTCAGCGGTAATTGCATTTTTCATAGACTTTTATACTAGAGTATAAAAAATGTTTTTATTTATACTAGAGTATAAAAGTTCAGTCTCGCCTCATCTCATCCCACCAACGCATCCTCTTAAAGTTTTTCTAATTTTTAACATTCCACACTTTTTAACGTTGCCATTCCTTTTTCATCTTTTATCTTCATTTTGTTTATCCATCAGATAGCAAAATGCTTTATTTTTATCTGATTTCCAGTTTACACCTATTATAGCTTCATTGACTTTGTCGCTGATGATGGGGTAACCCGAAACTAGTACGACTTTATATAAATAAATCCAAGTTAGAAGTTTTTACATGGCTTTTATTTTTTATACTAGGAGTTAAAAAAATGGAAAACTGTTAAATTAAAACTATATTAAATTTGATGTCTTATCTAGACTAGACTTATCTATACAGACTTCTAGACAATCGACAATGAAAAATACGAATATGTTTTATAGTCTCAGATTTAAATTTTTAATCTGTTAGAGTATCTATGGCTAACTTTTTTAATTACTCTTTTTTAAGATAACGTGTGAGCCCAATTAGAACAACATGTGAAAAGTGCAAAACATATACAAAAACGTGATAGAAATAGATTGCTAACAAAGTATAAGAAAGACATATTTTTGCAAATTTCCACTAATTTTTGCATATTTTTTGGATATTTCGAATAAATAGTTTGCATATTTATGCGCATATTTTCTATAATTTGACTGCATAAAAATCCGAGCTCTACTTATCACACATGAGAAGACTAAGTTGTAGTATGTACTGGCGAATGACCAGTTGTAGTATGTGAGGCGGAATCAGGTCTTTCAACCACAGGATGCTGTATTGTAGGTGGTTCAGGCACATAATTTGGTTTCCCCTTTCTGTGCCCTTTTCCACAATTAGCTAAAACCCCTGAAATTTCCAATCTAAACTGTTTCAAAGGCATGTATTTTTGACTCAGTGCAACACAATCCATTCTATACAACAATTAAGCGTTTACAACGCATATCCAAAAGCGTTTTGCCTTGTGGCGCGTTTTATAAAGAGCCATCAAAGCATTGGCTGTATCCACGCCACCCATGTATTTATTGTATTCCTTTACTAGGTTATATCTATCTTCTCTTTAACATTTTTATGGTACCTCTTTACACCACTTGAAGGCTCAATTCCATTCAGAGTACTACCTAAGAGGATAGCTTTATCGTCAAACCATTTTACAATGATTAGTCCTTTTTTTTATCAACTCTGTAATTCAAATCACCCCTTCCATGCCTTTTTCAAATTTTATCTGTTTCAATAGGACAACCGGCAATTCTATTAGTTCGTAATGTTCCAAGACTATGTATATTACATTTTTCATTGAGATAGAGAAAAAGAAAAAAATAGCGTTGCATTTTTAGGATCATGTAAAGATTTCGACAAAGCTATTACAACTCCTGCTCCAACACCCATATCACTTTCTTCTTGCGTGAGTGCATTGATACCATGAAGTTGTTTGAATGTGTTAGCTCTCTGGTAAGGAATGAAGTCTAAAACGTTATTTCCTCTCAAAACAATGGTTTACTGTTTACCCCTACCTAAACAGGGTTGAAACCACATATTAATGTTGCCCAATATCGTCAGATTATTATAGGACTTTAAAATTCATGCATTTGAATTTAGTGTAATCATACGGTTACATTGTCCATTACATGGTATGTTATTTATTTAAAGGTCGAGCGATAAAGGGTTAAGATTATGTATAATGAATCTGTGTCCTATACTTAACTACAAACAAGTCAAAGCTTGTCTGACATCTCGGTACTTAATAGTATAAATAAAATGAAATAGGAATTTAAACCATCAAAATTAAGATTGCTGATTTTCCCTCATCAATTAGATCAACATTACAATATTACAGCTGTGCAGTGGTTCCTGAAACCTGATTGCTTGGTAGATAAAATGTTATAAACATACAAATGACCACAAAGATTATTTCAATAATTACTCTCTCAAGTAACAAAGTGATTTTGAAACTGTAAGTTGGTATCAACAATATTTTGTTCCTCACCACACATTAATAAGATAATCATGATGATCAATATTTATTATCAGTATTCTAGCAAAGAAAATCTATTGCAAATCAACTGGTAAATGATTTTCAAACTTAATTTTTTATAGAAAACGTATGACGCGTGTGAAGTTTCGAAATAGAAGAGAAAAAAAATTCGTGATCAGGGTTTAATCGATCTAATTTCAACGGCATTTTGTTCATGGTCGTCTCTTGTTTCAAATTCGAAAAGAAAATTTTCCTAACCATTTCCTATAGTCCGGGAAAATCGATTTTCTTCAAACTTTTGCAAAATTCGGCCTGTTCGGGGTTTTTAATCGATCTAATTTCAATGACATCGTATTCCTGGTGTCCTCTTGCTTCAGATTCAAAAACAAAATTTTCCAAACCATTTCTTATATTCTGGGAAAATCGTTTTTCTTCAAACAATCGCAAATTTTGGCCTGTTCGAGGTTTCTAATCGATCTAATTTCAACGGCATCGTATTCCTGGTCGCCTCTTGCTTCAAATTGAAAGAGAAAGTTTTCCTAACCATTTCTTATATTTCGGGAAAATCGTTTTTCTTCAAATAGTCGCAAATTTTGGCCTGTTCGTGGTTCCTAATCGATCTCATTTCAACGGCGTCGTATTCCTAGTCGCCTCTTGCTTCAGATTCAAAAAGAAAATTTTCTTAACCATTTCTTCAATCCAACTTCAATCAATTGGACAATTGGTTATAATAAGTTTGTGCTTTTCTAGTTTCAGTAATCATTTGATCAAAAAATAAAACTTGCTGACCTTCAACATTTGCTGCCATTAGCATTCAATGACTACTACGTAATATAGGGAAAAACTCTTTTTGGAATTTGCTAATTGTTTTTGGTAAAAACCCGTTCATAACATTTTCTATTTCACTTTTGTTTTCCTTTTTTTTTGCATTAGAAATTTGATTAATATAAAACAATTTCTTTGGCAAGTCTGTTTAAACTTTCTTTGAGTATGCCGCTTTTATGTGTGAATACGTCTTTTTTTCGTTTTCCTCAAGATTCTTCAAATTCTTTTGCATGCTGGCGTGCGCGCGTTGCACATTTAGTTTTTTTAATATTATATTTGACTTCGTTGTATTCACTTAGACCATCATTTCTGATTTTACAAATAAATCTGGACGGTTTGTCTCTTAATTCATTTTGATTGAGAATATTGTTTTTAACCAGTTTTCAACCAAACAGTTGTGTTGTATTGGTTTTAATAAACTTGTCCATATCGGCATATATGGAACATGCTGTAAAAACGTCTGTCCAAATTGACTTGAACAATAATTGTTTTTCTTTAAGTGTTGTTCATTTTTATACTGATTGCAATTATCCTGAATTTTCTTAAAGTAGTATATTATTCCTTTTTCGTAGTCTCCAGCGACTTACAGCCAATACATTTCATGTTAACAACAATTTTTTATGTATATATGCCCGTGTTCTGTTAAACCCTTCATCGAAGACTCACATTTCAAGCCCACCACTTTTTCCTTAAGAAGAATACAATGCCGTTACAATTAGATCGATTAGAAACCCCGAACAGGCCAAAATTTGCGATTGTTTGAAGAAAAACGATTTTCCCGTAATATAAGAAATGGTTAGGAAAATTTTCTTTTTGATTTTGAAGCAAGAAGCGGCCAGCAATATAATACCGTTGAAATGGGATCGATTAGAAACCCCGAACAGGCCGACATTTGCTTATGTTTGAAGAAAATCGATTTTTCCGGAATATAAGAAATGGTTAAGAAAATTTTCTATTCGAATCTAAAGCAAGAGGCCACCAGGAATACGATGCTATTGAAATTAGATCGATTAAAACCCCCGAACAGGCCGAATTTTGCGAAAGTTTGAAGAAAATCGATTTTCCCGGACTATAGAAAATGGTTAGAAAAACTTTCTTTTCGAATTTGAAACAAGACGCGACCGTGAATACGATGTCGTTGAAATTAAACCGATTAAATACCCCGATCACTCATTTTTTTCAGTTTAAAATCTATGGCTGAAATCTATGGCCAACTTCACACGCGTAAACGTATGTGTAAGTGTAATAGTATATTAAAAAACAAGTTTCGTAAGACACGTTTGAAATGCATGAATTCAATTTGAAAAACGAGTGGCGAAGCCACGAGTTTTTTAATGAATGAGTCTTGTGAAATGTGTTCGCGATTTTATCCTTTTTTTTTCTCAAAAATAAAATAAATTTTGACAATGTAGGGAAATAGGTATGTAGCAGTTGGTAACACCGTAACACTTGAAAATAGAAATTTGAATTGACAATTAGAAACTGTCAAAACACAAAATATATTCACCTGACTAAAATGTTTCATGTACACCTCCCAAAATATGAGAAATTGCTCAGAGTTCAATGTCCTCATCATTGTGGACCTTGTATTCGATGCTAAGAACGTGTTTAAACATCCATAGACAAACATTGTCACATTGACAACTAGAAAAATTAATGACCCAATGTCACCAACATGAACTGGTTCCATAAAATGTTACTAAAATCTCATTACAGCATCGGATGCTGTAAGGAGTCTCAGTTTTATTACCATCGCGAATTACAAAAAGACAGTTAAATATACCATAAACAAACTATTGAAGATACATAAATTGTTAGCATCATATTATCAATTAAGCAACAATTTACAAATTCTCATAATAATATAATAGTATATTAGTTTCGTAAGACACGCTTGAAATGCACGAATTTAAGTTGAAAAACGAGTGGAAGAACGTGTTTAAACATCCATAGACAAAAATTGTCACATTGACAACTAGAAAAATTAATGACTCAATGTCACCAACTTGAACTGGTTCCATAAAATGTCACTAAAATCTCATTACAGCATCGGATGCTGTAAGGAGTCTCATTACACACCCGTTTGAGTACTGTTATAGCTTCCATTACCGTAGCGAATTACAAAATAGTATATTAAAAAACAAGTTTCGTAAGCCACGTTTGAAATGCAAGAATTCAAGTTGAAAAACGAGTGGCGAAGCCACAAGTTTTTTAATGAATGAGAGCTTTAAGTCTTATGAAACGTGTTTTTTATGCTATTTTTTGTAATTCGCGTTTTTATCCTTTTTTTTTTCTCAAAAATAAAATAAATTTTGACAATGTAGGGAAATAGGTATGTAGCAGTTGGTAACACCGTAACACTTGAAAATAGAAGTTTGAATTGACAATTAGAAACTGTCAAAACACAAAATGTCCCCTGACTAAAATGTTTCATGTACACCTCCCAAAATATGAGAAATTGCTCAGAGTTCAATGTCCTCATCATTGTGGACCTTGTATTCGATGCTAAGAACGTGTTTAAACATCCATAGACAAAAATTGTCACATTGACAACTAGAAAAATTAATGACCCAATGTCACCAACTTGAACTGGTTCCATTAAATGTTACTAAAATCTCATTACAGCATCGGATGCTGTAGGAGTCTCATTACAGCACCCTTTAGAGTACTGTTATAGCTTTCATTACCGTCGCGAATTACAAAAAGACAGTTAAATATACCATAAACAAACTATTGGAGATACATAAATTGTTAGCGTCATATTATTAATTAAGCAACAATTTAAAAATTCTTATAATAATATAAAATATATTTCAGAATAGTTTTATTACCTGTAAACATTCTAAAAAATATTCCATTCCTTTTAATTCCAAAAATATCTGACAATTAAGAGGCGTTTCGTCCGTAACATTCCACATTGTAGACCAAGCAACTTCAAGTACATCGTCACAAATTCCACGTTTTAATCTTTCAGCTATTAACCATAACATTTTCTACAACAACAAATAATAACAATATAACATGATAAAAAGAGTCATCAACTTACGTTCACAGCTCCTAATTCGCCCAGTTTAATTTTTTGTTGTCCATCCACTTGACACGCAACTGTATTTAAGAGATAAATACCAATTCGTTGGACAAAACTCTCTTGGGGCATTCCATAAACCGAGTGGAGTAATAATTCTACTAATCGTTCATAATCAAACACCTTAAAATAAATAACGATTCGTAAATAAAATTATACGATTATTATAAACGCATCTTATGTTCAATAAAAGAAAATTTCATTAAAATATAACCTTAATTCAATTAAAACTCAATCTATAAAAGCAGAAAAAAAATTTAGGCCACTTTAACTAATTTTTTTATTGAACATACTACACAAACTTACAACATCTAACGGGACTTTAAATTGACATAAAACCAAACAACCGTTCCTCATCATCGTATCATCATTTCTATGTACACTCATTCCGTTTAATAAAGCTGTTATTACTTTTCTTTTTAAACGTAGGATTCCGTGGAGTTCCTTTCCTGCTGATTTAACTATATGAAATAATGATGCACTAAAATTTATTAAAGGACCATAAAAAACTTTGTTATTTATAATTATTTATTCGTTTACCTTCCAGAAATTTGAATATGTTTCTCAGTTAAATGTTTATTCATCGCTGTTAATATAACATTAAGAGCTTGACCGTAATATTTGCACGACCCAAACCTAAATAAATGAAATATATCATTTAAAACTTTTTGTAAGATTACATGTCGATCCATGTAAGCCATAGCGGCAATTAACATTTGTTCTTCCGTTGCGTTACCTGCAATCTAAACATCTTATTTTAATAAATCGTTTTTAATTAAAGATAATTAAGCCGTACCATTAACGCAGGTATATCGTGCCTATAACAAGCATCTTTTTGCGTTTCATATAATCCCAAAAATTGGAAAGGATTTTTTACTCTAGAACTTAACCCGGGTATATCAGATGCGTGGGCTTCCCCCGTATATTCGGCAACGCCAGTTCCTGCTAAATTCGTTCCGGAAATATCCAAAGACGTTAATTTCGGTAAACTTTCAACAATGGTTTGTAAAATTTTCGTTCCATTCTTTTCCCACCTCCCGTTTTCTATTCTCGATTGAGATATATCGAGATGTTGCAAATTTTTTAACTGACAAATGATCGGGATCATTAACTCTATCGTATTCACATTGTACAAGATCAATGAGCGCAAATTAATTAATTCACGGGCGTACGTAAAATCAGATAAATCGCTACAATTGGATAGATCTAGGTGCGTCAATTGAGTTAGCGTTTTCAACATAAAGATAAATATCAACGGCGGTAACGCGACCGACGTCCTAATACTCAACCGTTTCAACCTGAGCGGTAAAATTAAATATTCACTTACGCAAACTTCCCTCCGTTGCTTATTAATAAAGTAGGCATAAAGTTCGTTGGAAAAAACGTTCGTATTCTCGCCGATCGTCAACGATGTCAAATTCTCACCGTATTTAGCAATGTGTCCTAAACTTTCAAACGTTAAATACGGCGCATCGGAAACTTCCAAAGACGTTAAATTGTGACTCAATAAAACGCGTATACTATCGTCGTCGATATCTGTATTGTGCAAATTTACTCTTCTTAATTTAGTCGCTTGAAGATTTTTAAATATATTTACGAATTGGGAGTTTAGTTTTTGTTCTCGTGTGCTCCGTCTGTACAGAATTCTTTCACATATTTCTATTGGGAGTGCAATGTGCTCTCTTAACGTTAAATTGCCGGTGTATGGTTCTGTTTCACATATTGTCTCAATGTAATTTAAGATGTACTCGATGCATAGGTCCAATAAGGTGTCTGGTCCATTTCCTGTACAATACGCGCAACATTCTTTAGGTAATGTAGGTGGATGGCAGACCTTTTTATTAACTTTTAACATCTAAAAGCAAAATTAATATATTAATTCAATAAAATAATTAATAAAAAAAATATATATAAAGTTAATATACTTCAGGGGGTGATTCTTTAGGCAATTTTAAGGGTACTTTCTCATATAAACTATCAGCCCCTTCAAAAATGGCGAAAAATTTTGGTTTGCTTTATTTTTCCCAAAAACCATTAACACCAAGAAAATGAAATTTGGGAAATATGTTTAGCTTATAATATGGACATGTTTCGAGCCTATTTGTACTTTCAATCTTGCCTTCTATGTTACTAAACATAACCACCCCCGTTCAATTTTTGTCTAGATCTTTTTGATGACGATGATAAATACATTGGAAATATTTTATTTAGATAGACGAAAATATTCTAAAACTTTTTTGCCTCTCTGATGTTCTTCGAAAAGTTAATAGTTTCTGGGAAAAAAATTAATTAAGCAAACACTAACTGTTAACCTGTATCGTTGTTAATCGAAAGTTGGAATGAATTTTTAAAGAAAAAATCTTAGCAGGCTTAGCAATCTTTGTCAGAGATATTTTTGACGTTTAAATGTCAGTGGTTTTCTTACTATTATTATTGTTTTATTTAAAATTTTGAAACGTCGAGTGAACGAGCGTAAATGCGGTAGAACTTTATTCATAAATTAATTTGAAAAACAATAATAATAGTAAGAAAACCACTGACATTTAAACGTCAAAAATATTTCTGACAAAGATTGCAAAGCCTACTAAGATTTTTTCATTAAAAATTCATTCCAACTTTTGATCGACAACCCCGTTGTTGAACGGGCAGTGTTTGCTTTATTATTTTTTTTCTCAAAAATTAGTCGTTTTTGGAAAAATTTTAGAGAGACAAAAAAGTTTTAGGATACTTTCATCTACCTATGTAATTTTTTTTAATGTATTTAACCTCTGCATAAAAAAATTTTAGCAAAAATGTAAAGGGGGTGGTTACGTTTAGTAGTTTAGAAGGATAGGTTGAAAGTCCAAATAGGGTGAAAACGTGCGCTACTACCTGTTAAACATATTCCCCAAATTTCGTTGTCCTAGCGTTTATGGTTTTTGAGAAAAAAAAATTAAACCAAAATTTTCCGCCATTTTTGGAGGGGTGTAGCTCCTTAGGGGAGCCCAAGTCGCCCATGGTTTATATATCAAAGTACCCTTAAAATTAAAATTGCCTAAAGAATCACCCCCTGAAGTTTGGGCATGTCATTCAGATACACCCTGTATATAATAGTTGTAATGCGTATTGATGCGGAAACATCAGCTTCTCCAAACAAATATTACCTAAAGTGCAGAACTACAAATGAACCAGAACAACATACTATAGTAAAGTTAGTAAACTCAAATCCATTGCACAGAGTCTGCAGTCCAGGCATGTCATAATTGCAAAGAAACTCTGGCTCAACCAATCCTATTAGTATGCCTATGACAAATATTTCATTCAACGTTCATAATCAGAAATATTGATGTACGTAACAAGTTGGTAGCCACTTGGGTTGTTCTCTAGAAAAATTAACATTGCACAAAACATGTACGAAGCTTACAATACAAAATCCCGAGGAAAGTTTGTAACATTTTTGAAGAATCCACGGCAGCAAAGAATTAACGGTTTTTTGAAACATCAGTTTCACCAGGTAAGTGTTACTTAAAGTGGCAGAACTCCAAATGAACCAGAATAACATACTATTGTAAAACTTGTAAACCTAAATTCATTGTAGAGAGTTATCAGTCCTAATATTCCATTATTGCAAAGAAAGTCTAGCCCAATGAACCCTACTAGCATGTCCATGACAAAAGTCTGCCGATAGGAGACTACAACAACGCATTGAAGATGCCAGGTGAGACCTTCTCGAAACGTCTGCCTCTTTCCAAAAGGAACCAACAGGAAAGCCGTGTGTCCACTACCAAGTTTTCTTGCGGAAGTTGCTTCCAGAAGTATTAATGATGACGTATTAATGGCGTATTAATGATGACGTATTAATGGCGTATTAATGATACGTATTTACACGACAAAAACTTCTGGAAGTCACTTCTGGAAGTAACTTCCGCAAGAAAACTTGGTAGTGTATTAATGGTACGTGTTTACACGAGAAAAACTTCTGGAAGTCACTTCTGGAAGCAACTTCCGCAAGAAAACTTGGTAGTGGACACACGGCTGAAGAACGGATGAAATCTCGGACCAACCACAGCAACACAAAGTTAATAGTTATTTATAAAAAAATAGTCCTGATATAGACTTTGGTAGCAGTGGTTTGTATAGTATCAGAGAATCTTATACAGGTGCTCAAAAATTGATGACAAAAATTAGATTTGTATAAGATACTACTCCGATACAACAAATGAGAATCTATTTGAGAGCATCTGAAGAATAATCGTGCTAATGTAGATCTTTTTTAAATTAACGTTGGCTGAGATATGGGGTTTTAAAGAGCATGCTGAAATTTACCAAAAAAAGCTTAAAACCAAAATAACTCGAAGACGAAAAACGCTTGGTACCAATAACTTGTATCAAAGTCAACCTATTTTTTAGGAACAATTAAACCCAACCCAACCCATAGCATTCCATTTAAAATAACGAAGTTATGGTCTACTTCCGGTAGACCAGAAGTGGCGGTCATCTTGAAAATATTTTAGATCGAAAGTTTCGAATGAACAACCCATGTAATTAAGTGGTGACTTAGTTGTTGCAACTCAATGTAACCTATGCCTTCATTTTAAGTTAGGTAGGCATGGTTCAGTTCCAACCCGAAAAGTCAAGTATATAGATAACTGGCACAAAGATTATAAGTTGAAACTAACAAGTTAACAACGCAGGGTGTAATTTTCATTATTCCTATATCTCAGTGTTGCTTCGTCGGCAATACTAGACCAGTCATCAGTTCTAACTTGTAAGTTTTTATATAACCCATAAAGACGAAGGGGTCCAGATGAGGTAATGAGGAGATTATAAGAGGTTGGATCCTGTTAGCCTCTCCTACCCAATTCCGACTCTCTCCTACAAGCTGATGGAAACCTGAGTAACTTTGCGGAAGACAATCCCAGTGGGAAGCGAGGTCAGGGCTAACGAGAGCGAGAAAACTGGTCTTCTGAAAAAGGGGTTAGGAAGAGGATTATCTACCGGCCACCGTAAAAATATTACCAGTTCTTGTTATCCAGTTTGATAATTTTGAGGTGTATGCGAAGCACGGCGACGTTCTTTATTTTTTTTTCACTGTGGATAACAAAGGTTTTAGGTGAAGGAAAACTTGGGGTTTCTAGTGGTGTATTTAATATTCAGCTATCTCTAAAGACAACGAAGATATCGGCTTATAAAATAGAGAGAAAAACAAAAGTAATAGTTTGTTAATGTCGTTTGCATGAGTTGCCAAAGACTTAGGTAAATAATTTCGAAAAACTGCCCCAATTTGACACCCAGATTTGAACAACAACAGACTCCACAAAATATGACCGCTAATTACTTCACGGAATGTAGCTCTAGACAGCTTTTCAGTAGTCATCATGCAGATACTGAGCTACTGAGAACCTTCGTGTATTGTATCAAAGACCTCTTCACACCCCCAAAGTAACACTTTGTTAGAGAACTTTTTACGCCCCAAAAAAGAACAGTATAGCGAGGAACACGACACGCCTTCTGGTTTCAACAAGATGGATCTCTTACTGGAAGAATGTTTCATGGCAACCTCTTTCCACCAATTTGATGCAGCGTGACTTTTTTTGTAGGAATACGTCAAAGCTGAGGTATACAAAGTTCTACCTCGACTCGTTGAAGTTCTCAAGGTAGTGATTGAGGACGTCATCACTGGAATTTCGCAAGATATACTGGAAAGAGTGGCCGAAAACTTCTTTAAAAGGCTCAATATGTGCATTGCTCACCAAGGCCTATATACTTTTGAGCAAATAAACCTTTTTTATGTATCTTGAACCGTTTTCTTACAATTAACACTTCAAATGAGGGACTAAATGACTGAGGAAATATATACATGACACAACAACTCATGCAATCTATTGCAAAGAGGAAAGGAAAGAAGAAGTAAAGAACAGGGTCTTAACATCCACTTCTTTCCTAGATGATGAAGATGCAAATGAATGTTTGTGTCACATTGAACCACTCTGCATCACTTTGAAGTCTAAGTATATTGTCCTGAAATTTGCCTTCAATATTTTCCCAGTGGGTCCTTCATCGATCAAGTTTAGATCTCCCAAAGAAACTTTCACAGCAGCTTTAGTACTAAATTTGTACTTAACAACATGGAATTAAAAAGCAGATGACAGATAACAAAAAAGTGCCATGGATCAACAAACTTATTTGGTTTCCTGATAAAATGCATTCAGTTTATGTTGTTATGTGCAAATATAAATTTCTAGAAAAAAAATTAGTGTTATTGAGAGTTTCTTTTTAATTAATTCGCAATTTGTTAAGGATATAATGTTCTTCTCAATGTTTAAAAATATGGGTGACTTTAAATGCCTCTCTGACATTGTAATCATAATTAAGTTTAAAAAAATTAATCATCTTAATATATCATTACATGCCTCTTGATATCTATTAATATAAATGACTCATTTTTTTACTACAAAGAATAAAACAAATCACATAAAGATAAAGTTTTAAGATCATGTAAGAAAAGATGTTTAACGTAATAAAAAAAAATAAAATTTATATTTTAAATTTATATAATTAAACGATTTAATATGATTCATAAAAAAAATCAATAAACGATTTATTACATTTTTCTTTGTTAACTAAAACGGAATTAAAAGTTAAACACCTCATAAAGACTCAACAGTCATAGATCAGCTGACTCCAGCTGTTGTGTCATTAAAAACTATTATAACTGAAATCAAATGAAATTGAACTTATCTGAGAATGCATCACATTTCTATTTAAAAATTGTCATAAAACACACAAAGAAAAGTGTAAATATTTATTAATTAAATAATTGTAAAGGGAAAAAATGATAACAGCTTAATTAAAATAAGATTTAAATTCACTTTTCTTACATTATCTAAGCACGTACGGTTCAAACCAACTTTAAATGTTAGTTTAACCGATTTATCTCGTATAATTTTCATGTGATTATTATCATCACCTGCATCGAAGTCCTATTTTAAGGTGTACACTCACGAGCACTTACTTTTGTGTGTTACTGTTGAGGATCAAAATTTTGTCACTCACATGGCCGATAATTTTTCACCCTCGCATTTCGACGTGTATTATTAATTGATCGGGAAATTTTGCGCTCACGATTTTCGCTTAATATAGAATTTCCAGATGTTCGCACTATTTTTGTTATTGAATGACTTTTTGACATCCACTGACATTTATTCCGTTGTTTAAAAAATGTATTACTTTTTTCACAAACATACGCGTCTTAACACATCGATTCCAAATTATCACCCATTAATTTTTCGATATCACCGTTGATTTTTCAAAATGAAGTTTCCACCGTTATAATCGCACTTTAATAACGTTAAAATTTATGGAATTTAAAGAAATTCGTTTGGGAGACATTTTCGGAACGCGTAGTATATATGTCATTTTGACAGCGAAGCGAACATGGCTTACAAGGCAAGGTACGATTATTTTAAATGCAATTAATGTATTGAAAGGGATTAATTTGGGATTTAATTTAAAATTGTAGATTAAAAGAATTCGATGATTGTTTGCAAGGGGATGTTATCGATTTGAAGACGCTTAAAAAATTATGTTTTAACGGTACTTTTTAAATTTGGGGGTGTTCTTTTTTTATTGGGTTTATGTAAACACAATGATTTCAGGTATTCCAGACACAGCTGGTTTTAGACCTTTATGTTGGAAGCTATTATTAGGATATTTACCTCCTGAGAGAGAATCTTGGAAGGATACTTTAGAGAAAAATAGGAGACTTTATAAAAATTTTATAGGTTCATATTTACAGCTAAGTACCATTAATTAACTGTTAGCTAATTTAAAATAAACTTGTTTTAGATGATCTTGTAGTTTTGCCAGGTACTGAAGATGCAAATGGTGACAATAATTTCTTAGATCATCCTTTAAGTTGTAATCCAGATAGTCGTTGGCAAACTTTTTTTAAAGATAATGAAGTTTTGTTACAAATTGATAAAGATGTAAGGCGACTTTGCCCAGACATATCGTTTTTTCAGCAACCCACTGAATACCCTTGCCATGATATTGTTAGTAGTAAAGAAATTAAGAGGTTACACACGAGAGTCCAAAGAAGTGTTCTCAAATGTGCTAATGTCGAAAGAAAAGGATTGGGAATCACTAAGGTTGGTAATTTTTTTTTTTGATTAATTTTGAAAGAACTGAACATATTTTTTTGCCTTGATTGCTTATCAGTAGCAGGTGAGTTATTAAATAGTCATCAAAATTTTTATATAATTAATAACTTAAATTCTTTTTGTCTGATTAGATTACTTTATTATTAAAAAAAGCCCCTGAAGATTATGAACCAATGGCTGAAGGACAAGAAGCTCATTGGGAAGTGGTGGAACGTATCTTATTCCTTTATGCTAAATTAAATCCAGGACAAGGTTATGTTCAAGGAATGAATGAAATTGTTGGTCCCATTTATTATGCTTTTGCATGTGATCCAGATTTAACATTTAGAGGTACTTCATTTACAAGGGGAACTGTCCCTCACCAATTTTGTTGCAATTTGGTACAGCCATAGTTTACACTGATGAAATAAGGTTTACATATTTTTTTATACATGCTAACAAAGCCCCTGGAGCGTGTTATAAGGGTTGAAAGTTGGGTTGAGCTGTATACAGGGTGTATCTAAATTGATGTGAAAGATTTTAAGGGGTGATTTTTCAGTGAAAATTCATATAACTTTTTGGTCAAAACCACTTCTCCTCCAAGTTAAAACCCTCAAAAATTAGGGAAAAAAATGGTTTTTCTTTAATAAATCCACTATGGAGAACATAAAATAACACTTCTTGACGATTTTTATACCCCAAATATGTTATTACAAGGAGCTAAAAAAATCAACCCCTATAATACTTTGATCCAGAACTTTTTAATGCGTCTACGTTTTTTTCTTTAAAAACTTGATTTAAATAGATTGATTCAATACGCTTTTTTTGTCTCCTAACATTTTCTCCTAAAGTAGTTTGATCACATAAAAATAAAATAATACACAAGCTCAGGTGAATTAATTCAGAGATTGGTTATTATTAGTCAAAAAAATGAAGTTATGTCAAATTGATCTCAGCATTATTTTATTTTTTGTGATCAATCTAACAATTTGTTAGTTGTAAAATGTCAAGAGATAAGAAAGTTGCAGATTTTTTCTCTTAACTTTAGAAGGCTATAACTTGGAGGAGAAGAGGTTTTGAATAAAAAGTTATATGAAAGACATCCCTTACTTTTCGCTGAAAAATCACACCTTGAAATCTTTCGCATCAATTTAGAAACACTCTGTATATTGGCTTTTAGCTTGAAAACGAGGACAGTTATTGAAATGTGATAAATGTAAACTGATATTCATTTTTAAGGAGCTTTTCATTGATATATCTGAGGGCTTCAGGGGGTAAACTACCCCTGCTTTTTGGGAATAATTTAAAAACTACCCTGTTGATTTTGGCGGCATTAAGTACCCGAATAGTACGTTTAAAAATATTAATTACGTGTTTTTCCCATTTGCCTCCGACCATCCCCTGAGTAATATGATACGATCTATACTTTTTAACAATATTTTGAAAAAATCGTCAATTAATTGCAAATTAAGATTTATTTTGTAAAATAACCCCTATTCAACATTTTGGGATGGCTGGGGTTAACTGCCCTAATCACCCCTAAAATTAATTTCTTTAGTAGTATTATTTGTCGATTTTAGTGTAGTTTAGCACAATGATCTCTTTATACAGTAAATAGTATTTTAAAAGAATTTATAAGGATTAGAAGTTTGGGGTAGAAAATATATTTTAGCTCACATAATTGCCACACAAAAATGTTTAGTACAAACTTAAGTTTTCTTTTTCTAAAGAACTTTTTATTCATGTTTAATGAAGTTTACTAATCTTATTCTATTTAAATAATACAAAAGTTAAGCTAATTATATAAATTTAATATTTATTAATAATGAGTTAAAAAGCAATTGACAAAGAAATAATAATAATGTTTATTGCCTCAAAAACTAATATTTACATAAATATATACATTCATAACAAATATAGACATCAAGACAAACGGATCAATTTATCGCAATAAGCGATATCTTCCAAGAGACTCAACTGGTAACAGTGTATATGTAATTTTAAATAAATAAATTATGGCTACCAAAAGAAGTAATACTAAATGATAAAAGGAATAAATGATAATAAAACTGTTAAGTTATGGAACGGATCGACTGTCAGTTACAAGAAAACAAACACGTATAGGTCAAGAAGAAGATAGTTGAAGAAGAAACTAGCTGCATTGCGAACAACGGCAGGCAAATCGTTCCACAACGCAACCGACTGTACTGTAAAAGATCTGTGGTAGATTTCAGTACTATGGACTGGAAGCATGAGTGTAGAGTCCGACATTGATCGAGCGGGCAAGTCATGTGATGCTAAAAAGTGAAAGGCATCAGACAAATAAGCAGGAGTACGGGTATGGACAATTTTGTACAACATAGTAAGCATACGAAATAATCTACGACTCTCAAAAATCAAAAATGTACCGTATACAATTGTTCTGAAGTCTTTCCAATTTACCCCAAAGGTCTGCGGACAGATCGGGATACGCAGCAGCGGTATAATCAATGTGTGGGAAAATGAGAGAATAACAAAGATTACGACGTACAACTGGAGGTAGGAGCGAAGTTTTTTCAAAGTATGGAAGCAAAAGTAAACTCTCTTACAGACTCCCTGAACTTGTGGTCGCCAAGACATCGCTGAATCCATTACCACACCAAGATTTTTGACCGTATTAGAAAACGGAATAACGGTGTCGCCAAGCCTCAGTTGAAGGGTAGTTAAGGAATTAAATTGTGCCGGCAAGGGGCGAGTGCCAAATACAATGGCTTGCGTTTCACCTGGATTCAAGTTAAGTCCATGACGTCTAGACCAATCAAGCACGCTAGTGAGATCGTTGTCAAGATGCAACAAAGCATCTGGGAGGTTGTTAACAGTTGACGAAATATAAAGTTGAAAGTCATCTGCATACAAATGATAGTTACACGAGATACCATCACTAATTCTATTTATGAAAATTGAGAAGAGCAAAGGATCCAGCACACTGCCCTGGGCAACTCCACATTTGATGTAAACAGGAGAAGAGAGTACATATTCCACGCGGACACGTAAAGACCGATAGGAAAGGTAGGACTGGGACCAAGATACACAAGAAGAGGTAATAATAGCACCAAGGAACCAATAGCAGAATGCCTAGTTAACAGAAATGGTTGTACAGAGTGTTAATTAATTATCGTACCCGACGTCATCATTAAAAGTATGCAACCAATATCACAGTATTGGTATTGCAATGCGCAAATCGCGTATAAAATACTGGTCTGTTAACTAGTTATACGTTAATGCTTGCTGATGCAAAATGGTATCGTACTGATAGAGAATAACTTGATCAAAAGGTGTTGAATTCAGTGATCGAATTTGATTTGTTGTTCCTACAGGTATAGATAAATGTTTAAACTTAACATCCAATCTGCTCCAAGAATCCAGTAATAGTAATGTTTTGTCCAGTGTTTGGGAAATATATATTTTGCAGCCAATTTTTATATGGGCAGAAGTTGGTTTACCAGACTTTGAAGCCACAACGAATATGTTATCTGCTTTGAATACTGTTGGTAGGCCCAAACGTGTCGGAGGAATCTTTTAAAACAATTAAAAAACAGTAGTTTTCCATCTGCAGATGTGATAGGTTAAACTGTGTAGTTAACGTTGTCGATGACATCTACTGGACCGGACCACACATTCTACGGTGAAATCGTGTAAAATTCTTCCTTTAATGTTGATAAAAAGTTCTTAAAAAAAACTTAAATTTGTACTGAACATTTTTGTATAGCAGTTTGAAAATTATGAGCGAAAATATATTTCTTACCGCAGACTTCTACCCTTATAAATTTTTTTGAAAGTACAAACTCTTTGGGTGGTCGCTATAATTTTCTAAGAGCAAACATTCCTAGCTTGTACGATGAACTACTTTATACGTGGATTGGTCTTTTCTAAATGTGCAGGTTAATGCGGATGATGCTTTGCGAGCTTTTTATACAAAGTTGTATGAGATTTTGGATTTATTTGTTCCTAAGAGATTGTGTCGTAGATCCTCATACTCTATTTGGTACACCTCAGAAATTAAGCGACTATTAAAGTTGAAAGAGAATTATAAGAAGTGGAGGAGAAGCAATAGTGCTTTCTATTCAGTGGAATATAAAAGACTGAGGTGTTTGTCTGTACAGAAAATCTCTGATGCGTATATTTCCTTTACTATTAGTGCTGAACAATCGCTTCGACAGAAAACAACGACCTCTCGACTTCCTGGAAAAATGATGTGTGATGAGTCCACCTACACTGATCCTGATAAAATAGTTAATGGTTTTGCAGATCAATTCTCTAGACTCTAGAGAATTTGTACTCTAGAGTCTAGAGTATGTACTGGTGCCTCTGTTTACAACATGGCTGATGTGCTCTCTACGTATCCTCCAGTATTTGTTGCCGATCTCACTGAAAAACAGATTCTTCATTTCCTATAAAGGTTACCTAATAAATTTACTGCTTTTTTCATTCGTGGTTACTGGGCAGTTTTTGCAGTTCCGCTTCATTTAATAATTAACCTATCCTTAAGCACTTTCTCGTTTCCTAAACTTTGGAAGCGCTCACGCATTGTTACTATGTTCAAACATGACGAACGTACCAACATTACTGATTTTCGACCGACATCACATTATTATCACATTATTCTTACGAAAAAGGCTTATCTCTTTTACCTCGTAAGTTTGCAATATTACATTTCGATAGCTATATTCGTCTTCAAGCTATAAGCGAATATAAATTATCCGCTGCAACTTCCAACCCTTATGACTTACTCCACTGTAAAAAAAATAAGTCAACCTTATTTTGATCCATATTATCGCTGTACCAAACTGCAACGAAATCGGTGAGGGATAGTTTTGACACTTCCCTTGTTAGTCAATCTTAATTTAAACTAATTTCTCTATTTCAAAAAAAGAACATGCCGAAGCTGATTGTTTTTTTTGCTTCACAAATTTAATGTCGGAAATCAGAGACTTTTTTATAAAAACTCTTGATAGCACCGATTGCGGAATCAACAATATGATGACACGTTTGTCAATGCAACTAAGAAAAAGCGACCTCGATATTTGGTTGAGGTTCCAACAACTTGAATTGCGTCCAGAATATTATAGTTTCCGGTAAAAATTGATTTGATTGGTTTATGTTTTAATCTAGATTCTGATTTATTTTGCAGATGGCTTACACTGTTATTATCACAAGAATTTCCTTTACCCGACGTATTAAGAATATGGGATACTTTATTTTCTGATGAGAATCGTTTCGATTTTTTGATCTATATTTGTTGCGCGATGATCGTCGTTTTAAGGGATAAATTGATAAGAGGAGATTTTCCGTCGAATTTAAAATTATTACAAAGCTTTCCACCGACGGAAATCCAAAAAATCCTTCCTAAATCTTTTGAATTATTTCTTCAAAACAGTTAGTTTTGTATGAATTTTTTAAACAAATTAAAAATACTCATAATATACAACTTTAAATAATTATAAATAGTTTTTAAGTGTACATAATTAAGTTACGATATAAATAATCATTGTAAATCTTTGTTTATACATTTTTTATGTGTAGANTAGCTTTCCATCTGCAGATATAATAGGTTAAATTGTATAATTAACGTTGTCGATGATATCGACTGGACCGGACCACACATTCTACGGTGAAATCGTGTAAAATTCTTCCTTTAATGTTGATAAAAAGTTATTTAAAAAAAACTTAAATTTGTACTGAACATTTTTGTATAGCAGTTTGAAAATATATTTTTTACCGCAGACTTCTAACCCTTATAAGTCCTTTTAACAGTACTATAACTCTTTGAGTGGTCGCTATAATTTGCGAAGAGCCAACTTTCCTGGTTTGTATGATGAACTACATTATACGGATTGGTCTTTTCTAAATGTGCAGGTTAATGCCTTTGTCAGCTTTCTATACAAAGTTGTTTGAGATTTTGGATTTATTTGTTCCTAAGAGGTTGTGTCGTAGGTCCTCATACCCTATTTGGAAATAATCATACCCCCATCATACCATCATCATACCCCAGAAATTAAGCGGCTATTAAAATTGAAAAAGAATTATAAGAAGAAATGGAGGAGAAGCAATAGTGCTTTCTATTCAGCAGAATATAAAATACTGAGGTGTTTGTCTGTACAGAAAATCTCTGATGCGTATACTTCCTTTACTATTAGTGCTGAACAATCGCTTAGTTCTGATCCCCGTAACTTTTGGAATTATATAAGACAGAAAACAACGACCTCTCGACTTCCTGAAAAAATGATTTGTGATGAGTCCACCTACACTGATCCTGATAAAATAGTTAATGCATTTGCAGATTATTTCTCTAGAGTATATACTGGTGTCTCTGTTTACGACATGGTTGATTTACACTCTACGTATCCTCCAGTATTTGTTGCTGATCTCACTGAAGGACAGGTTCTTCATTTCCTAAAAAGGTTACCTAATAAATTTACTGTTGGTGATGATCTTCCTGCATTTTTCATTCGTGGTTACTGTGCAGTTTTTGCAGTTGCGCTTCATTTAATAATTAACCTATCCTTAAGCACTTTCTCATTTCCTACACTTTGGAAGCGCTCACGCATTGTTACTGTGTTCAAACATGACGAACATACCAACATTACTGATTATCGATCGACATCCTAAGTTTTATCACTTAATTCTTACGGAAAAGGCTCTTTTACCTCGTAACTTTGCAATATTACATTTCTATAGCTATATTCGTCTTCAAGCTATAAGCGAATATAAATTGCCCGCTCTAACTTTCAGGCTTTATTAGCACGTATAAAAAAATACATCAACCTTATTTTGATCCATATTATCGCTGAAACAAACTGCAACAAAATCGGTGAGGGACAGTTTCGACACTTTAGTCAATCTTCATTTAAACTAATTTCTCTATTTCAAAAAAAGAACACGCCGAAGCTGATTGTTTTTTTTGCTTCACAAATTTAATGTCGGAAATCCGAGACTTTTTCATAAAAACTCTTGATAGCACCGATTGCGGAATCAACAATATGATGACACGTTTGTCAATGCAACTAAGAAAAAGCGACCTCGATATTTGGTTGAGGTTCCAACAACTTGAATTGCGTCCAGAATATTATAGTTTCCGGTAAAAATTGATTTTATTGGTTTATGTTTTAATCTAGATTCTGATTTATTTTGCAGATGGCTTACACTGTTATTATCACAAGAATTTCCTTTACCCGACGTATTAAGAATATGGGATACTTTATTTTCTGATGAGAATCGTTTCGATTTTTTGATCTATATTTGTTGCGCGATGATCGTCGTTTTAAGGGATAAATTGATAAGAGGAGATTTTCCGTCGAATTTAAAATTATTACAAAGCTTTCCACCGACGGAAATCCAAAAAATCCTTCCTAAATCTTTTGAATTATTTCTTCAAAACAGTTAGTTTTGTATGAATTTTTTAAACAAATTAAAAATACTCATAATATACAACTTTAAATAATTATAAATAGTTTTTAAGTGTACATAATTAAGTTACGATATAAATAATCATTGTAAATCTTTGTTTATACATTTTTTATGTGTAGAAAAATAAATATATTAAATTTAATTCATTTATTCAGATTTATTTCGATTAAAATGATATTTAGCAAAAGTTTCTGCAACTAAAAGAGGAAAAACCAACGTAGCTTCCGCGTACAATTTAACAGGTGTTGCTTCCGGTTTTATTTTACCCCAAGAAACCGCCTCATCCGGTCGTGCTCCAGAATCGCTCCCGTCATATTCCGAAGATGTATTTAAATACACCGCATAATCAGCACCATTTCTCTACAATCATTGAATCATTTATTTTTCAAACAAATTAATTAATAAAATCACCATAAGATTCGCATTACAAATGTGATGTTTAATTAAGCCTCCACCAACAATAATAACCCCCGTATTAGAAGCTTTAATAGCCATTAAATTTAATCTTCTCAAATCTAAACAAAAACTTTAATACATAAATGCATAATAATTAAAACATAATAATACCTGATAAAATATCAACAATTAACCCAGGATTTTTAAACGAATGAAAAAACATCATATCCCCTAAACTTCCATCTGTTAAAGCGGGACTAAACACTGGTATTTGATTTTTAGAAGCCCAATAATAAATACTCTCCTCATTATTTATTTTTTCACCTAATCGTTGAATCATTTTGCTGGGTGTCCATAAAACACCATTCTCTTTTTGTTCTAATACCATTTCATTGAGTATTGGTGTCACCCAATCTTCGAATTTGCAATAATTATCATTAGGAACTAATAAATTTCCTATCCTATTAATTCCTTGCTGTCTTAGCTTTTTGCCTTCTAAGTGGAAGTCGCCCAAAAACGTTGACGCAAGGCATTTAATAAAATCCTCTTCGACACCACCTGCCGTTGTAACTATACAATCAACCAATTTATTTTTTACTAAAAAAAGGATAGTTTCTCGTAATCCGCTTGAAACTATGTTTGATGTGTACCCCAAAAATATGGTACAATTTGTTTTCGGTGTTATAAAAGGGTCCTCTTTATCATCGTATTTTTGATTTGTTATCGGTCGATTTCTACATTCTAACATTTTATTTATTTCGTTTACGGCTAATGCGAAATTTGTTGCTTGAAACCCTGTGTGTAAGTAAGTTTTTAATATTTCTTCATAGTTTAATCCGTTATTCCAATTATATCCTTGTACTTTTTCTTTTAAACAATCAACATTCTCGGTTTTCTTTAAAACCGCTTCTTCAGTAATTTCAGGAACTTTTTTAGCAGTATTCATAGTTTAGATTCTTAATTAATTTTTAATCAAATAAAGAATTTAATAATCTAAAAAGTTAGGTTAGGATTTTTGTAATTCGATTGTGGAGACATCTAGTAAAAAACGGTTAAAGTTTTCTTTTAGGTTATGTGTTGAATAAAGAAGAACTGTCAAATTTCTTTTCGAATTACATTGAAAAATGTTTGGAGTTGTAGGTGGGTTTTAATTTTCTTTTTATATAATTTATTAATTAACTTATATGTTTTTAGTATCTTTAATATTAGTTGCTTTATTATGGGGTGCAACAAATCCATTGATAAAGAGGGGATCGAAGGATATTGTTAAAATAAAGGAGTCTTCAAAAATCAAACAATTCATTTTGGAATTAAAATATTTGTTTACAAATATACATGTAAGACAATTACAGTAGATTACGCAGGGCAACAATGATTTTGCGACATGGGGTTTATTAGTCAATTTTAGGTAATTTTGGTCTCTTGCACAGGAAAACAATAATATTTTTGTTGAATTGACTCTACTCTTTAAGCAAAGGCAATCCATTTATATTGGAAATTAAATTTTAAAATGAGGAGAATATTTTTAAAACGTTTATTTTATTATCAAATGATTTCAGATAAACAAAGTGTTACAAATGATACAAAAAATAATAAAATTAATCATAAAAAACAAAAACATATCAATAGAAGTTAAGACAAACGTATTGTATGGGATTTTCTATAGTGTTTTTGGTCCAGACAGTCTCCTTGAAACTTCCAACAGTAGTTTGCCATCATATGGCGATCCCAATGACCTTGATATCTTTCCTCCATAACTTTGATGTCCTGGTGAAATAGTTCGCGTTGTTCTTCCGCAAATAATGCTATTTAACACTCATATTAGCTCCTAATTTTTGGTAATTCTGGAGCTTTTTGTCTACTACATTCTTCAGCTTTTTGATTCCCCAAAAAACTGATACAAAACTTGTCCATCATTCCAATTCAACTTAAATCATGTGGTTTGTGAAATCATGCGTATTTATATGCGTACAGATTTGTGGCCCATCAAAAATTCCTCGTATTAACTTTTCTATACTAAGTAAGACCAGGAAATAAATGACAAATATATTTGAAGCAATCGCTGTTCCTATCTAAAGCTTTAACAAACTCTTTTAATAGCCCAAGTTTTATATGTAGTGGCGGAAGAATTGTTTCTTGATTGATTGACGGTTCATGAACGATGTTAGCTTTTCCTAGTGTAATAAGGGGAATAACCCACTTAAAAAAATCTAAATTTTATTATGTTGATTGAATTATTTTTTTTTTATTTTCTTTCGATGACTAAACTGTTATAACAACGAGAGTCAAGTGGGAGGATAGCACGGGTAGCGGAAGTAGAGAGAGAGTTGGGTACGGACCGTAGAAGGAGTTGGGAGTGGGTGAAGAGCTTGAGAAATTGAGAGTTTACTTTTTTTTTATATTAATCAATTTTTGAAGTGAAATTTTTGACTACGATAGTTTCATAGGATTAAATTAAACGTAAGAAGTAATTAATAATTTTTATTATTGTTTCCTTTTTTTCGTTTTATTAGGAGGGTTATTTGAAATTTATTTTATATTTTAATCATTATTCTTGGGGTTTATTTTCATATGTATTTAGTTCATTTTATCTATTTTATCTTTTCCTTTTAATTTTAACTTTTTGCAAATAGTTTGTTGTAATAAATTTAGGTAGGAAAAAGTACATCATTTATTTTGCTTTCTCTTTTGTTTACATCCCTTATTAATAGTTACCACGTTACAAGGGTTTAGAAAGAGCGGACCCGTGGGGAAAAGAACCCCTGAAAATGTTCCAACCCTTTTAGCACCCCGCGCTCGGGGGTGGTGACACTAGTCATGTCCATTCTCTATGGCTAGTGTTTCCTGCTTCAGTGTTCACTTCACGCACGACTATCCCACAGACAAAAAAACATTTTTAAATCTACACACACTGACCATTGATTATGATGAAATGAAGTTTTTCTAAAACAATTTCTTTTTAATATTCTTCCTTAACACGGCTAAACTCGAATATTTCCAGTTCTAGATCTAGTGTTAGTTCTAATTCTAGTGTTAGTTCTTGTTTTACTTGTTATTCAGCGTCAGATTGTGGTATATTTTTCATAGAAATAAAACTAGAACTAATACTAGACCTAGAACTAGAATGTTTTGGGTTTAACCGTCTTTAGAGACGTGTGGCTAAACCCATAGTTCCAGGTCTAATGTCAGTTCTAGTGACAGTGCAAGTATAAAACTAGAACTAACACTATACCTAGAACTAGAAAGATTTGGGTTTAGCAGTCTTTAGAGACGTGTGGCTATTCCCAATGATTCTAGTTCTACTATACATATAATCTAATATACGTACTTTTCTAATACGTATATTTAACCTTTCAACTACTTCAATAAAAATATACAACAACCTAGCGCTGAACAACAATTAAAACTAGAACTAGCACTAGATCTAGAACTAGAATTATTCGGGTTTAGCCGTCTTGAGAGACGTCGGACTAATCCGAATGTTTCTAGTTATCGGTCTAGTGTTAATTCTAATGGCAGTGATAGGTAGCGCTAGTTAGCATAAGATATTACAATGTTGTATATTTTTATTGAACTAAAATTAGAACGAGTCTAGAAACATGAATGTCTCTAGTTCGAACTAGAAACATTCGCGTTTAGTCGTGAAAAAAACTTTGTTGTCAATGTCAACTTTAATTTTATTATAATATTCGTAATCTTCATAAAATAACCTTTAAAGTGAGTCCAAACTTGACGCATTTCTCTCAAAAAACCAAAAAGTTCGAACTTTCAACGTCAATTTTGACATATTTGTCATCTTCATTAAAAAACCTTTAAAATGAGTCCAAAGATGACGCACTTATCTCAAAAAACCAAAAAAGTTAGAATAAAAAACATTAAACCCGAAATTAGCAACAATGAAGATAACAATTTAATTTTTAAATATTAATACCAACCTTGACTTTTTATTATATTTTTGTTTTTGTGACAAATATTAAGACATTTTATAAAAATTAAGAATATGTCAAAATGACATTGACATTTCAAATCGGAAGTGGCTTATATCTCGAGTAATATTGGAATTAAACGTATCATGTTTGGACTCAATTTAAAGGATTTTTCATGACGATTACAAATATGTCAAAATTGACGTTGACATTCTTAACCGGAAGTTGGCCATAACTTCATTAATATTGAAGATAAATATGTCGTGTTTGTACTCATTTTAAAGAATTTTTAATGAAGATTACAAAAATGTCAAAATGATATTGACATTTCAAATCGGAAGTTGCTTATATTTCGAGTAATATTGGAATTAAACGTATCATGTTTGGACTCATTTTAATAGTTATTTAACCAACAAGTCTATTAATGAAGGCGATTAATTATCGAGATATTTTAACGCGTGAGCGAGCGAAGCGAAGCGAACGCGTTAATTATTGAGATAATTAATCGCATTTTAATATACGAGTTAGTTACAATATTTTTCCGTTGACCGTCTTTTCAACAAAATAGAGAAAATCCATTGTTGAAAAATCTCCCAATTCTGTCACTGGCAAAATAACTTCACTTTTAATGTGTCATAATTTATTTTTGTAGTCTTACCGAATAGATATAGTGGTCGGTTGGGTCGGTATTACAAATTTCATTGGAGAATATTTATTAAATTGACTACTATATTAGTTCGGTCGGACTTTCTTAAAATCGTTTATTAATAGAAAATCGTTTATTAATAGGTGTCATTAATGAATGATTTTGTATACATTTATAAATCATATAAATACACGGTCGACGGAAAAGGATTTTTCACGACGATTACAAATATGTCAAAGTTGAGGTTGACATTTTAAACCTGAAGTTAGTTATCGTATAATAGAAGTTTTCTAGATGAAGTTAATCTAGTGTTAGTCACTTTTCAGTCATGATTCTTGAATTTTTTCCAAGTTTCTTAATATTTCTTTTGTTAAAAAAGAGCGTTCTTAAATTTTAACCTGTAAACTTGTAACACTTCGTCCTTAATTTCATTTTACAACTTTTTAAACTTTAATTTTGTAAGTTAGTAACTAATAATCTGATTTCGACTTTGATATGTGATCTTTTGTAACAAAAGAAAAAGAAATATTAAGAAACTTGTTTGTAAAATGGATAGGATGAGGGATGTTAATCTATTTGTAGAGTCTTTGAAGGTGGCCAAGGTCTGAAATTAGTTAGACTTAAATTTTATATAAAATAGAAACCAGTTGAAAAGTACAAAATCAAACTCTAGATAATTTTCTTCAAAAATTTTTATACGAAACATCATTTTGATTCTAGTATTTGTGATTAAATTTATACCACGACTTACAGAAACACCTGTGTAATCGTAAAACGACTGACCAAGCGGATTCTGTGCTTGTGATGGCTGTCATCAGTGTTCTGTGATAAAAATAGATAGGCACCAAACAATTTCTTAATGTCTTAACGTCTTAATGTCTTAAGACGGCTAAACTCGAATGTTTCTAATTCTAGGTCTAGTATTAGTTCTAATGTTAGTGTTAGTTCGTGCCTGGGACCGCACATTTTTGCGCAACACGAGAAAACTCGTGAGCGGTCCTTAATGTGTTAAGAGTAGATGAATGAGCTATCGGGATTGAAGCTAATTTATTTCTGTTATGCAGTAACACACATCGCAAACTTTTTTTTGAGCCATTTATGAAATGTTGCCAGTTTTTTAGTTGGTCTACTCTTTTTGGTCACTAAAATATGGCAGAATGTCGCACTCTCTAGTTCGATAACATATTATTGATACGCCAGGCTGAGGGCAATGTTTTTCTTTTAGTCTTGTCGCAAAAAGTTGATTTCTTAGATCAATTTAAATCTCGAATCATGTCGTTTAGCTAGCCCTGAAAAAAACTTGAAAGTGTAGGATGTTTTTACTCTCACTATTCAACATAATAACAGAGAATCGTCTAATAATGAACTAAATACCTGCATGGGTAAATCTTCACTATGCAGCGTTGGTTTCTTAGTGGATTGTACGTTTGCGTGAACCCAAGAGCGCTTTTTGTATCGGTTCATA